AAACTAAATATTAAAGTAGGGTAACATAAATAATGGCAAGGATCAAATAAATGAGACGCTTAAGAAGTAAATAATTTTGTTTATAGGTAAATAATAACAAGAGAATCACAATAAGTTGAATATTTATATAAAGAAGGTACCTTAAATTAACAACACAAAATGTAGCCATTACTTACATTACATTTTTTGACTAGTGGAATGTACGATTATGGCAACTTTATTTTCCCATCCAAGCTAATCTTTAGTCAATATTCGACCAAAGTCAACCAAACCACATGGCTATAACATGCCAAGCCCAAACATATCGACAGTGCCAAGAATGTTGAACAAATAGTACATAACATTTCATTGATGTACCATCCAGTTTTCTTTGCAAGACTTTAAATCAAAAGAAAGTATTAATATACTGACAAGGAAACAAAAATGTTCATTAAATATAAGCACAACTTTTTATAAAAATCCTTACGAGCAAACAAATTTTTAAACTGAAATTCCATAGTTCAAATTATTATTCTGACAAAAATCATCGATAGGTATTGCAATTACAGTTTTATTATAAGCTTACTGTATAACAAGCATTATTATTGTCTATCAATTTTGAAATTGAAACACAAATATTTATAAATTGAAATCCCACTTTAACATAGAGTAGATAGCATTAGGGTACTAATTCACAAAAAGTGAACACGGTGTAGTATACAAATATAGAGAATTTAAAAATTATAGTAAAATTTAATTTGTTGGATACCGAGTCATGCCTCCGTAAACTTACTAACAAATGGCTAACAACAAAGGTTGTATAGTAGAAATGACAAAGCTTTAATATCAAAGGTAATAAGTTGAATCAATTTAAAAGATTATCATTATTGATAAATTAATGGAATATTTATAACGGCGGGAAAGGAAATTGGTTTTGCAATTATCTTGTATCTTGGCAAGAGGACTGGCACAATAGTCGAGGAACGTTGGGTTCAATTCCATTCTAAAACAATATCTTTTTCTCAATGTGGAGACTTGTGTTGTCGATGCCTTCTCATATGCTGTTACATCTCAGTTGTTTATAATTAATAAGTCGATGGTAAAAGTTATACATACATTATAGAACCATTATCAATAGCTCATATTTTAACAATTATTTTTATACTTTCATTTAGAAACCCTTAACTAATATTGTCATTTGTTCGAGTTTCAATATTGCGAGTAATAACAGTAACCCAATATCATTATGATTGAATAACCGTAGATAATATAAATAATACGAATATACACAGCGAGCAAAGTAAAAGTAGAGTGGTAATATAACTTCACTAAGATAAGCTTATTACGAATTACAAATAAATCACAGCATAAGATAAATAATATAACTGAATATTGTAAGATACCATATAGTAAAATATATTGCATAGTCAAGGTTGGAAAAAATATAGAAGTAATAGGGCAGACTATTTATACCTTAAACACAGTGCCATGTGTTAAGCGTTGTAATTAGTTGGTAAAATCAGTCCTAAAATAAAAAAAAAACTTCATACAATTTTGTGATCGAAAAGAATTGTATAGCACATTACACAATGGAAAAACACTATTGTAAAATGCGTTTAAGATTTAGGTTGTTTTAAACTATAGAAATTGAAATTACATTTTGAGATAGGCCTACATTAATTTCTTTGGTCTTTATTCTTCAAACTTAACACATAAAGTAATGGCATGATCTAATATAACCCAAAATTAATGGAGGTAAAATAGTATGATGGTGTTCAGGCATCCACTAGAGTCCATTATAATAATTGTTAATTAGTGGAATTTCTTCAAATTGTAATAAGTTTAGCCATTTTTTAACCCACTTTGGTTAGAATAAAATATAAACATAATATAAGAAAAATATATTACAACAGAATAAAATGAACCACTTATGCTAGTGAGTGGGATCTGTGGATTTATAAAGTGTGTTTGTACAGATCACAAAACATAACTCTTTACGATACACATATTTTAAGTGAGAGTAGGGGATATATACAAGTAGGATAGATAGCCTAATATATGAGAAAAGAACTCATCCACCCCATAGGCATTAAATTGTTCTATATTCCCTAATGTATTTATGAACAGTTGATGGATTTGTTTGGAAAGCTGCCTAAAACTGTAAGCATTAGCAATTGTACTTTTATGTGTTGTTCATATATTTGTTTTACATTGTTCATATAGGATTAATTTATATTGGTTTAGAGAGAAATCATAGTTTATGTTTAATTATATTAATTGGCCTGATCAACTCTAAAGCAGACCATGTGCAAATTGTATTCACTAGTTATAATGATTAGTCAGATTTTAACTATCAACATAATTTTTCCCCTAAAATATAATCAAGGAATAAAAATCCATAGAGAAAAGTATGTCCATCAAAAATCATTTGTTTTATCTGAACTTGAGTGATTTCCTACCCAGAGTGAAAGACAATTAAATAATAAGGTGTAATGAATGCTCATTTGATAAGACATTTTCTAGGAACCATACCATGTGAGGGGCATAAGATTGTAAAAATAGTCATTTATTTAAAGCATAGATTTAACAATACATAAATGTTCCATTCAGCTTAAAAATGAGATGTTTATTATTAACGCTGAAGGCTTAAACTGTTAATTTATAAAATGTTTTGTGTTTAGTACTATTTTACATTTACTTGGACCAAAACTATCTTAAGTTTTAGGGCATCAAAAGTTTATAGAAAGTTATCAGTTTAAAACGTTTTTGTAACTGACTATCTCAAATAATTAATTCTTTTTGCAAAAGACCATAGTGCATTGAGTTTTGAGACAAACAATTCTTTCAAATTTTGTGATACCTTCAACCACAGTAACTGATACTAAGAAGCTAGTCAATATAAGGCACAGTCTTGACTAGAACAAGTACAGACAAAGTATGACAGTATTTCAAGTAAAAATTGTTGTAGGGAAAGGTAAATGAGGATGATGATTTTAGTTATTGTATTGGATAAGCTATGTAAAATTGTAACTTAACAAGGTTTTATGTTAAGAACCATAAATCAAGATGCATAACAACAATTATACAAGAGATTTGGAAAAACAAAGCCTACAGAATAGTTTTAATAAGTGGCAAAAACTTTAAATTATGTCAAATGTCTAACATGAGGACTTCTCTAGAGGTTAATCGTTTTTCTTCAAATTTTAAAATAAGTATTAATAAATTAATTTAACTGTATAGTGGTTTAAATTACCTTGTTACTGTCAAAACGATCCTTTGTAGTTTGTAAGACTACAGCTGTTTCATGCTTCGAATGGAGCACATCATGAGGTCAGAAGAATGTCAAGTTGTCTTCATTGGATATTCGTCGTAGTGGAGTTCGTCAAAAGTTTTATAATAAATAGGTAACAAAACACATAACACAAGGAAACACAAAACATTTAGTATTGGTTGACCAGACGACAGTAACAACACACGTGACACGGCGCCGGCTGAGGGTGAGTCAGGACCAATACTAAACGTTTTGTGTTTCCGTGTGTTATGTGTTTTGTTACCTATTTATTATTTAACTTTTGACGAACTCCACTACGAAAATATCCAATGAAGACTACTTGACATTCTTCTGACCTGATGATGTGCTCCATTCGAAGCATGAAACAGCTGTAGTCTTATAAACTACAAAGGATTGTTTTGACAGTAACAAGGTAATTTAAACCACTATCTATATAGTTAATTCAGACAATCCAGAGGCCATCCCATCATGTAATTTAACAGATATTAATCAATGAGAAGTATTGGCCATAAGAAAGTTAATCTGGTACGAAACAGAAATATCACGACTTTCTTTTAAAATACCCTTCTGGAAAATAACCAGTTCTGGACTTTATCAAGCTTACGCAATGTAATTAATGTTTATGTTGAAATGAAGTTCTATAGACAGTGTTCAATTCCATCTTGCGTTGATTGGACAGAAAACAAAAGAGTTGAAGAGATCTTCTCTATCACTTTGATTCAATCATGAAAGTAAATAAAAGTATTGCATTTGATTTATATTGTGTTTTGTATTGACTCGGAGGTACAGGCGTTTTGTGTGGAGTTAAAACACACTTTTGGAAAATCTACAAGTTGTTTGAGCTACCATAACGTATGCTTGTTTAGTTATATTTATGTTATGTGGATTAACCTTAAATGCCAAAGTCTTGGTTAACAATTTGTGATACAAGAATACATTTTAATTTTAATTGACTTAACTATTCTCAAATATTTGTTTCAATTTTTTTTATCAAATATTTTTTAGACTAGTACCACATTTCTTTATCCCAAAATTGATGAGGTTTTTGAAATTTGCAGTAGGCTATGTAATAATTTTATGTCTGCATGAATCTGGCTCCATATTGTCCACTATGCTGATATTGAAATTTGCATTTCAAAACTGATTATTTTGTTATGTTGAGAAATATTCAACAATTGCAATTAACTCGCAATGCATCCAATAGGTGGATTGAACTTTAGGAAAAAAACCTTTTATAGCTGTGTCAAGTAATTTTACCTCATAAAATAATAATTGTAGGGAGAAATAAACAAAAGTAAATTGAGGATTTTGACTGAAAGCATTTGTAAAAAGTATTCAACCAAAAAATTGATACATTTTTTTTTTAAAGTATTCACATTATATCGAAACATTGGTGTAATATTTGTATTTTTGGTGAAATGATAACGGGACAATGAGGGTCTATACATATGTACAAATATAATGATAAGCTACTTTTAGCATCTGCCCATCCTCTAAATTTATGGTCCCAGGCACTGGTTTCACCATATCAAAATACATTAAAAGGTATTTTAATAAACATAAGAAAATAGATGGATTATACAAGGGCTATCCAGAAAGTAGATTACGTTTTTGTCTGTATCCGCTAGAGGCGGGGCTAGCGCGACCATCTTGGTGTTCGTTCGTTATGCAGCTCAGTCGACATCTAGCCGTGCTAGTAAGAGATTTCTGCTGAACTTCGTTGAGTTACTGTGACAGTTTAAAATGTCTGTGTTAATTGAAAATGCCGCGAACTGTGAAATGCGTGCAGTTGTAAGGTTTTTGACTGCAAAAAACTGTAAACCGATAGAAAACTATCGGCAACTTTGTGAAGTTTATGGGGAAAACATTATTATTGAAGGTGGAGTATGTCAGTGCGTCATTAAATTTAAAAATGGCCGAACTAACGTTTACGATGAAGAGCGAAGTGGAAGACCCATCATTGTGACTGCCAAACTTGTCGAAAAAGTCGATGCCGATGTCCGTAAAGCTCGAAAGTTCACAATAACAGAACTCTCTATGGGGTTTCCACAAATTTTGCGAAGTTTGTTGCACAAGATCATAACCAAAAAGCTTGGTTGCCAAACTGTAACCAAAGAGTCCATTCATTTTTTTTTTTTTTTGCACACACTTCACAGTTCACGGTATTTTAAATTAACACAGACATTTTAAACTGCCACAGTAATTCAACAGAGTACAGCAGAAACCTCTTACTAGCACGGCTAGATGCCGACTGAGCTGCATAACGAACTAACACCAAGATGGTTGCGCTAGCCCCGCCCCTAGCGGATACAGACAAAAACGTAATCTACTTTCTGGATAGCCCTTGTACAAACACAGAATTCATTACACATACAAAAGTGGCAGTATTAAGTTTTAAATAATGTAAGATACTTAAATTTGATTTTAGGAGGTGTCGGATGAAGCTTTCTAAAACCTTTCTAAAACCCCTCCCCCCCAAAAAAACCAAAATAGTTTGTGTCAACAGGATATAATTGGCAACTTGGCATATTTTAAAAGTTAGTTAAAAAATAGGTGGGCATTACTACTTTCCTAAAGAGGGCAATGCTATAGAGAAACAAAAGTTTAGTTTTTACTAAGCTAGGAATAACATAATTCAATTGAAAAATTGTACAAGATGGCACATAGCTGTGGGAAAGTAATTACGTTTTAAGTGATACAAACAAAGAGTATAAAACAGTTATACCTAGTTCCTAACAAAATATGACACACAAATGAAATGAAAGTGAAAATGTTGAAATCTCAGTCCAGACAGTAGCAGCTGTGGTGAAAGCTATAACTTAACTAAACATTATTTTTTTCCTACAAACTTTAAGGGCTAACTGATACGGGCCGATACATTTTATAACACAGCAATTTAAAGAATAAAAATAGCAAAATTTAATTTCAAATTTATTTCTCAACACATTTTTGAGACATAATTTTTTAACTTCACACTTTTTACTGAACTGTATCAATACATGACTTAAACTTTAGTAATTTATTGTTTTAATCGTTACATAAATAATTCAGTGTACAAATAACAACTGTATCCATTAAACACAAAAATTGAAACATAATTCAACAATTCATAAATTATTGAATAAATAACGAACTGATAACACCAACAAATTATATGATCATTAAAATATGAAAACAACAACTGCTTGAGATTGCTCGAAAGAACCCAGCTTCATAAAAATTTGCAAAGTATCTTACTTACAACAATCACAAATTAAATAATGACGAGAGAACAAAGTGTCTTGATTACATGAGTAAGCACGATTTCTTGAAGTCATTTTCAAAGTCTTCATCTAGTTCAGCTGTGTCAGGTGTCTGTCGACCTGTGATGTTAGGCATGTACCTCGACTCACAGATTCCCTTCCTCTCGTAGAAGAGCATGTACGCAGAACTAGTGTCCAAGTCCACAACTTCCTGCAGTCAGGAAAACAGACACTCTGTAGTACACTCAGTAGATTGTGATAAAGATAAAAACAATTGTTAACCAACCATACTAGTATCAGCACTATCTGTTAGTTGCACCATTAAATAGAATTGAATGCCTTACAAATAATTAATAGTGACAATGCACATTTAAAAAATACAACATCATAAGATTTTTCTGAATGAGGCAACTTGCTGATGTCCTGAACATGAAGATTAGCAAGATTTTACTGTAGTAGTTTTATCACTCATTAATCAGCACATTAAACAACCTTCCAGCTAAACCCTGGAATTCCATGGGTTATTCAGTGATTTATTCTCATGAACACAAATATGAAATGATTTTGAAATTTTTAAAGCTTTTGGTCATACCTAAATGTTTACCACACTAATAAGACCGGTCAACCAAAAGGCCATTTTAAGTAGTTCCTAGCTTGACTCTCAGAATTCAAACACAAGCTAAAATATCTCTCAATGGAAACTGTAAGGTTGGGTTGGTAAACATTATATTGCTTCAGACAACCTCTCTACGATTAAATTAACTATAGAGGTGACAATCAGTGGTCAAAACTTAAGAAGATGGTGGTGTAAGGAGCAAACAAAATCAATGAATTTAAGCTGGGAGGAAAAAAATTAAAACTAGGATTTAATCTGTAGTTCGAGTAATATTACTGATTTTGTAAGTACAAACCTTACAACTACTGTCGTTGTAGCAATACCACTTTCCATTTGGGTTCTGGGCGTAAGCCACGTAATGACCTCCACCAAGGATTCCAGAGTGGCTCTATAACAAATAATTTAACGTGAAATTTTAACAGTTTTTGTTGTTCATTTTTCTAAATTTATATTCACTACTAATCTCTAATGGGAAATCTCTAGTGAAAAAAAACTGTGTAAGTTAATGTTAATAACGCTAAATAAAAATAATGTTTAAGATTCAAAAAAGCTAAAACAGGGACATTGAGTTTGGAAATGATAACTCTTTACTTTTAAAGTTTTCCAAAAGAAGATTTGTTTACACTTCACGTCAATAGAATTTTTGTTTGTTTAAGAGGATTTACAGCCCTTAGAACAATGGTTTGTAAGATTTTAAAAAGGCAATTGACAAAGAATAAAAATTATTTGGTTTCTTTGCCAAATTAAATTCCCTGATTTGCAACATTTTGCTGCTGCTGATATGTCTGAAGAAGATATTTAGTGAAAAAAACAATCTAGCATTTCAACCATGGAGCAAAAGCTACAATGAATCAAGTTTGATGTTTCAGGATCAAAGCGGTACTCTGAGAACACTACAACACACACAAATTCTATCTCAGTTATCAATCATTTACACTGTGTACCGGTATGTCTAATGTTTGTAGTTTTCATGATTTTACAATTCATTTAGTGCAGCCAATCTTGATCTGTGATATTTATTTATAGCTACTGTGATATTACTGTATTCTGTGTATTAGTTTAAGAAGTCTGGAAAACTGAATTGAGATCCTTATGGTTAACTCTTGGGTGGAGATGATCAGAAATTAAATTAGAATATTATAGCATGCCATGTTGTCTTTTGTCAACTACAATGTAGCCAAGATTAGGATGTAGTTACTTATTTTTGATTAAATCAATCACAATATTGTGTTGTTTAAAGATGGAATAAATTACTATTATTGACACTAAAGATGATACATCAACTTACCGTGATGGCGTATAGGTTGTATCGTAGATCAAACGGATCTGCCTCTTCACTCAACAGATGCTGGTGGAAATCCTGCAGTGGATTCATCTCTTCTTGCAACAGAACATGCATTTATAATGGACATGAGATATAAAAGAGAAAATGAAAAAACAACACTTGTCTAAGGAATAAATTAATAAGAGACAGACATATGCACAAATAACTCACGTAAGAAAACTTTCACAATACTATTAACTTGATATTTTTCTTCTCCCAGGAAACTCCTTCGCATTGAACAAGTAGAAGCAGTAAAACACTGCCTTCTGCCCGTCAGAGGGGCAAAATATGTAATTTTGCTATACATGTTTATGTATTATCAATTGTTTGGGTAGTTGTCTGGACTCTCTTCTTAGGGTAACTTAGTTGTGCATCCATTCATTCTGCCTCAATGCTTTCCTGCTTAAATTTGTTGATCAAAGACTTTTTTGAGTAATATGTAAGTATAGTTAGCTTCTCTAAAAGCATGTTAAGATTCTTTTGTTTAATTTTTTTTGTTATTCCATAACTAAAATGAAAACCTACAAGGCCAATGTTAAAAATAAAAACAAAATCAACTAAAAATTTGAACAAAAACAATTATTCTTAAACAGAGCAAACCATAAATATTATTGTTATTCTATAAAAAAATATCATATTCCTGACAATTTAAAGGAAATTGTTGGAGCCATTGCTTTAATAATTCTGCAAACTAGCATACAAAACTTACTCGTATTAGAGTATATGAATATAAAAAAAAATTTAGAGGAAATGTTAGCAGGATTTGACGGACGTTTCAAGTGCCTTAAACAAGTTGTTACAGAAAACATTACCCAAACCATTACAGAAAAGTTGAAATGAGTAATTCACAAATAAAGAAGAAAAACCCACCAGATTCCACTGAGCTCTCTGAGGTAGTTGCCTTGGATTTGTCATCACTACTTCTGTAAAAAAAATGTATATATTATTTTTAAACTTAAATAAAAAAGTACAATTTAAGTTTCGACCACTAAAGCTTCAGTTAATGTTCAGTTTCTGATTTGAATAAGAATTTCAATTATTTATTAATACTTACTGAATGTACTGAACATATGTATGTTTAAGGACTTAAAATGTACATTTTCTTGCCTGCATCCATCAAAAACCTGTGTGTTTTAAAATTCAAACAAGTTTAAAAAACTACTTTAACCCAGGCTTGCCTATATAAACATGAAGAGTACTTTGGTTTAGAGTTTTAGTCATTTTAGTTGCCAGAGCCATCTTGATTGTTTTGTTTTTCTTTTGACGATTGTCATGAACTTTGTACATAGTTAATGTCAATAAATCATTTCATTTCATTTCATTACTTATTTAACACATTAATTTGACCTTTTATGCAACAGTGGTTTTAAACAAGTAATATATAGAGTTATCATAAGAGTGTAGAATAGTATATTAGAGCATGTATCATAAACCCGCATTGACAATAGACAATTTCTTTCTATTCTAGACAACTTCTTCACTTCGGCTACTACCCAGAAACAACCACAAGAAGCAGCAGCATTGGTATATTTTTAAATATAAGAAGAAACAATAACACTGGCTTATCATCAAATAAAAAAGAAAAAGAGCTAAAACTGTATATAATCCAGGTGGAATAGTTTCAATGTAGATATACTAAGCTAAAATCATCCTTTATAAGATATTCTTTATTCTTTCTCTTAGGTGGACGGACATAAAAATCACAGTTGATGCTACTATTTAAAATAATGTATTTATAATAATTTGGTTTCGTGAAGAAATATGTTAAAAGTCTTAAGTTGTTTAAGTTACAAAAATAAACACTTACTTTTGATCAAGAGAAGCCTTGTGTCTAATCACCGTTTCTCGGGGTATTGAAGCCAAATATGTAGTGGGTTCAAAGTTTTCAAACGGAAACTTGACAACTTTTTGAGATTTCACCCATTTTCCATTCACGTATTGAAATCTCTTCAAGTGAACAATCTAAAAAATACAGATGTTTGAACTTGTTTTAATAGCAATGATACGACTGGTACTGTACTTTGTTCAAAAAACTTTGGTGATTTTAGGGGAAGAAATCTATCCCCTCCACTTCTTGATCCTACCATTGAAACAGCTCAACAGCTGATATTTATCAGAACGTCAATCAGCTGCAACATACATTTAAACAAACAAAAAGTGGCAGGGGAACTTCCCCTCAAACTGCCTAAATAATGGAGTATACTTTCAGATAAGTATTTGAATAACATTTCTTAAATAGTAAGGTTATGGTCCCCACTACTATTTTGTTAACATCAGTATTAAGTTCACATTTCTTAGAACTTTTAAAATTAGAAATTTCAGACAGTATTTAATTTGTATTTTATTCTAAAGATTATTAAAATTGAGAGAGGAACCCAAAAAAACTACAAGAAATTGCCACAGGTAGTTAACAAGCTAAGGAAATCTAGAGTGCTAAATAATCAAGCAATTATTTAGGAGAGAGATGGATTTCAGTAGTTTGCCTTAGAGAATGGTAATGTATGGAGGGATAGACAAACAACATGAATACATTCTGCTAATATTTCAACCTACTGCATAAATATATCAGTGAGAAGAAGGAACATAAATTATCATATTGTTTTAGCGAATTTCCCTATAGGGAAGTAGCTATTACCGTAGGTGGCACGGTAAGACCTAGACCCTGGACCGATTTACTTTTTCATTTTGATGTCCCCAGAGGCCAAAAACACCATTCGTTCAAATTTTTATATATGTATATATATATATATATAGACTTATATATATATATATATATATATATATACACGTCCGTGAACGCGATAACTTGAGTAATTTTTGTCCGATTTTGATGAAATTTGGTTTAAAGGTGTAAAGCGGGATAAACTTGAATGAGTTCGCGAACCAGCACGATCGGACCATGGGAATGGGGCTTTTTGGGGGGTTTTATGGGGTAAAAATTGGTTTTTCTCACTTTTGACCCTCAAAACACAAAATTTCCCGATTTCTCTTTAGACCTTTTTAAAGAGCTTAAAAAAACAAATAATTTAGTATATAAAAGTATTTTTGTTCGATTATTAGTAACGGAGAAAATTAAAAAAATTGTAAATTTAAAATTCCCATGTTATTCTTATGGAGAATATTGTCAAATGTTGTGGTTTGCTTGTTTATGGATATATTTTGATCAAACTTGGCAAATTTATTTATTTTGTACTAAGCTATCAATATTTTACTCAAAAACACACTTTATTAGTTTCCTTGTAGAAGCAAACCTAGGTACTCGTTAAACCTAATGTTATTAAAATATATTTAACAATTCAGACAAATGGAAATTCGCTTAGTCGGCAGGTTTGCTGCGGCGGGGGTATTGTTTATTTGGGATAGTCTTTAAGCCACAAGGAACGTTTTTTTAGATAAGAAGGCTAAAAATTACTCAAGTTATCGTGTTCACGGACACACACACACACACACACACACACATATATATATACAATATACATTTATAAATACAAATTTGAACAAATGGTGTTTTTGGCTTCTGGGGACATTAAATCGGTCCTGAGCCTAGGTCTCACCGTGCCACCTACGGTAATAGTTACATTCCCTAAAGGGAAATTCGCTAAAACTTATTCAGGCAAAGTGAATATTTTGCGTGAATCGAAAAATAATGATTGTATGTTTCGAGAACTACTTTTAGGACCTAAAAAAATTCCTTAGATTTTGATGACTCACCAAGATGGGAGGTAGCCTCCAAATCTCTAGTTTCTTGCTGGCGAGTTGATGTTCTTTGCACTTCGAACAGTAGTACTTTTCTTCCTCTCCGAGATGTTCTTCTTTGGTAAAAGCTTCCAGACAATAGTCTAGGTTGATTGGTTCCAATTGTAGTTGTCTCACTGTCTGTACACTGTTGTGCTCCTCAACAACCTGGGAAAACAGAATCATCTCCATCATCAACCTTGTATATAAGGTAAAACCAGACTGGGGTTTTGGAAGTTTGCAAAGTTACCACCAGATTGTTTGAACGAATAATTTACAATTCATCACGAGGCTGGTTCTTTAACTTCTAAGGCTACAATGATCATCTTGTAAGGCACAATGGCCAGACAAAACGTTTTTTCAAAACGTTTTGTCAGAAAACAAAAATCAGTTTGCGGTAGTCTCAAAGGACAAAAAGCTGGAGGTAACATAAAATCGGTTAGTCCCCCGTAGATCAGTGTAGTGAAAACGCAGTGTGTGTGGGGTGTTTACAAAAATAGACGAGAAAGTGGCAGAAGTGGACGTAGCAATTATGTTGTGAACTTTATACAACTTGCCTAACAAAACGAAAGAAGTAAGCATTGTGTTCATCTCCAAACGAAAACGGAACATTGGAGAGTTATTGTGAAAAGAAAAATAACAATCATACTATGTAAAACATTCAATGTTCTTTTCCAAAATTATAAGCTCATGAAATGTTAAAAATTAACAACAATGCAATACACTTTTGGTACCTTGTTCTGTATAGCAAGTTGCAATCATCTTTCTGAAACTAAAGCTCTTCCATGTCATATTGCCCTTCAATCAAGCCACCCCTATCACAAGATATTTCCTACCACTATAACATATCATAGCACACAGATTAGCATTTTAGTTGTAGGCCTATATAAGATGTCATTTTGGTTATGTTCGCTTTTTTTAGGTAATTTTTTTTCCTTATCGGATGTTAGTGGTTTATATAAATACCAACAGTGAAATCAGCTGATATAGCGAGCGAGAATGAATAAAGCGGAAATGAGCTATTTTGGGTACTGTTTACAGGTGTGGCAATATCATCATTGTTATGCAGTGGTAGGAAATAGAAATACACTATACTTAAAAGAGAATAAAACTCTAACCAAGGATTGGAATTGTAGCTACCTTCTCTTGAGCAGTTTGGTAACGCAGATGTAAGGCAGTTGGGTCCCAGTCAATGGCCAGATAGTTACTTGAAAAGTTAAACTCCGTATCGCAGCACTGAATTCGACATCCGCGACAAAACCTGCAAAATATAAAATGCTGTCTTTACAAGATCAATGTTAGTTTCCACCACATAATGTTTTCAATTTTTTTATTTTAGTGTAATACAAGGATCCTAAAAAACGGTCCAAAAAATTGTCCAAAGGCATTACATTGTTTACAACCCTTTAACACCACAAAATGTTTCCGATTTCTTATTTTAATATAATACAAGGATTGTAAGAACGGGCCAACAGATATTCACGAACGCATTACAATGTTGAATACAACCCTTTAACCCTTTGCGGCTGAATGGCGAGTATAGGTCGCCGCCCGCCATTTTCCCGACTGCTCGAAAATGGCAACCTATACTCACAAAGAAAAAAAAATCAAAAAAGATTATTTTAGTAGTCGTATAGCGAGTATAGGTTTGCTGAAGCCATTTTCCCGACTGCTCGAATGGCAACCTATACTCGCCGAAAAATGAACAAAAATTCGACCTCAAAGGGTTAACAAACTGTTGAATGAAAAATTTCACCTCTGACTCAAAACTTTGAGAATAATTTAGGAACAAAGTAACTCGAGTTAGTTAAATGACAAGTTATATCGATTGCACTCATGACTGAACCAGAATAAGATAGAAGTTAGCATTGTGGACTAAGATGGACAGGTTTTATTTCTCAGATACCCATGTTATAGCTTCAGTTTTTCTCATTTATGACTGAGAAGCTGCGAGGTTGGAGAAGGTTATAGACTCGACACTAGACTCAGTTGGCATTTTTCATCGGGCTAATAATTTTGGATATTTTCTAACAGGATAGTTTTAAAAAGAAACAATATCGGGGTTTGGATTATTCCTTTAACTTTAAGACACTTGGACTCTTTTGAGACACTTTATGTTTGTAGTGTTTATTTTAACAAACGACATTGCATTACAAAAGCCAATAAAATATTATAACTGTCAATCTCAATTTACACAATTTTTGCAATAAATACAATCATATTCAAACTTATTTAATTAAAAGCATATTCAAAACATCATGGCCCATATTTAAATCACAATTTGACTGGAATATAGTTTCCTCCATTGTTTTTCATTAACTCATTGACCAGTGACCAGCCTTACCTGTACCAGGGACACCAGGCGCAAAGAAACCCATCTTTGTTCACTGCCTTGAGTACAAACGGGAACTCGTAACCTAGACTGTCATCACTGAAACAAACAAGGTTTGAATTATATGAAGATAATCATACAATGACTTATGTCAGAGCCTCCACTAATACAAGGCCGTGGCAAGACAAAGCGTCAACTGAGACAGCTGTAGAACACACTAAAACATATGGAGCATCAGTGTAATGCTAATGTTTACAGGTTTGTTATTACCATGGCAAAAGGCAGGGGAATGCAGTGCTGCCACATTGTTGGTTGCGGCCTTGAGTTAGAGGAGGCTGTACTTATGTACGGTACGGGGAAAATATTCATAGGATTACCATATGGTTGGCAGTTACGTGAAGTACTTGGTTTGGTGAAGTTTGATCTAACACTTGTGTCGCATCCTAAGAAGCAAAGTATAACTATTTGCTTTAATTATCACCACACTATTTGTTTCTTTACAATTGGTTGGTAGACGATGTAGAACACGGAGGTTGCCCAGGCTCGAGAGCACGTTTCCAGACCAGGAATGCACTTATCAATTGTCTGACTGTTAAAACCCAATACTTAAAAAAATTTCAGTCGTTATTTTAATATTAAAATTTTGTGTTTAAAATATACTTGTAAGCTGGATTTTATTTCTACATCTTACAGAATGCTCCAAGAATTTGGTGTAACAAAACAAAAATATCTCTCTTCTCAGCAGTATTTTGATGAAGCAAATGGGAACTAAGCTATGAATGATTAGTGATTACTAACAAAAAAGCTAGGTTATAATTTAAGAAAGAAGGTTATATTAAATAAAAACAAATTGGCTGATTAGGAATTCTTTTTAGAGTTAAGGGTTCCTCTAGCTTGTTTGAGAAATTTAGATTCCAAGGGCTAATAAATACAAAAAAGGTCATATAACAATAAAACAATTAATATTCAATAAGTAATGTTCAATTTAATAAATTAATATTGGGGGAGCGAGGTGGTCTAGTGGTAGAGCGTGGGACTTCGGTTCTTGAGGTCCCAGGTTCAAATCCTGCCATATCAACAATGGATTTTATCTAAACAATAATACCACAACCCCTAGGCCTAGCCTGAAGTAATGTGAAAAACAATCCCGGGCTAGTGCGTAATGTCCTAGGACAAAATAAATAATATAATAATATTCTATTTCTATTCAATATACTCAGGCCTGCGGTTTGCATGCAATGTATTATGGGCTTGTGAGATAATTGCGCCTCTCTCCACCTCCTTGCGCCCCTGGGCCCAGACCCACCCGGCCCATTTATGAAAGCGGCTTTGAATATACTCTCAGAAGAAATCCTATACTGTACTAAGAATGATTACCAGAAATATGTAAATTTTATGTTTTGAGGCCTTTTTAATCCATCTATTAGCTCCTAGACTCCCTTGTATTTTTCAAATAAGCTAGGTGAAATCTATCCCTTAAAACTATTAATAAAATAACTGGACAAATATCTTTAATGTTTATCCCCTTAGCTCCTTTGACTCGTTATGAGCCTTACTTACCAGTCCATGGCGTGGTTGGGAGGAGCAGTCTCGGAGGGAGGTAACGGAGAGACCAGTCTAGCCACCTGTAGCCATACTGCTTGGTACAAGTCTTGGTGTGTGGTGTTGTCACAGCAGGGAACTATCACAGGCAGACCAAACAGGCTGGGCTTGCTCTTCTGGGATGACACAAAGTAATTGTCTTGTTGAGTCTGCAAATATTACACAACATGATACTTTCAAATTCAAATTAAATTATTCATGACCATCGCGGACATATATATCATGACCAAACTTCCACCGGCTGCTCCCACACGTTGTCCAACAAGATTTTCAATCGTGGCCACTGTTTGATGTATTTGTGTTTTAAGTTTAGTACGACGAATCTTTACACCGTCCAGGTTGAAGAGGATTGAACACGCTTTATGTCCTGTAAACTGGAAATTAAGCCATCAAGGTCTTCGACACCATGTTAGTTTAAGTACATGAGACTGAAACATGAAACATACATGAAACATGTTTATGACATGAAACTACAAACATTTTAACTTAGGGAGACAAAGGGTAATATAACCTATTAATTAATAAATTATTTCTAAAGGGTGTCCCAATAAGAACGCCGGATATGAAATGTTAATGAACCATATATTTTCACGCTAAATTTACAATATGAAACATGAATCTTAAAGCATAGTATCTCCGATTAGTAATAGCATATTATGTCTCGTAAGTGTCCACCTGCTGCCTGCTGACAAGCCCGACATCTCTTGACAAAGTTTTCCATCACTTTTTCACACACTTCCTGTTGAATGACAAGATCAATTTCCTCCTTCAGGTCTTGGATTGCTTGAGGATTATTGGCGAAAACAAGTGACTTTAAATATCCCCAAAGAAAGTAGTCACACGGTGTTAAATCGCACGATCTTGCTTAGATGGCGATGCAGCGATGTGTGCTTCATCGCTGAACAGCAAAGTTTTTTGTTATTTTCATATTGATTGCCAACCGTTTACGGCCGTTTACGGGATCTCTTGGCTTGATCTCTTGTGCGAGTTGAATTTTGTAAGGGCCCATGTGAAGGTCTTTTACGAAAATTCTTTGTACTGTGCTCCGAGCTAGGCCTAACTGCTGACTACGCCGACGAATCGATGTTCTTGCGTTGTCTTCTACACTATCATGTACAGCCTCAATATTTTCAAGGGCGACCTGCCCGACTGCGCAATGGTCTTTTAATGTCCAAAACTGAGCATATTTTTTCGAACTTAGAAATTGATCCGGACAGATGACTCATTTGGTGCATTGTCCCGGCCGAAAATAACGCGCAGCTACCGCACCGTTTCAGCGAAACGTTCCCCGTACTTGTAGTGCACTTTAACTATGACCAAGCGTTGATCCGTCGTGTAGCGATTCATGACTACAAATGGGACCTAATACTGATAACATAGCTGATAATTTGGGAATTCCTATCGAAATACATATAAGGATAAGACAATCTTGAAATCCGGCGTTCTTACTGGGACACCCTTTAGTATAACAATGGCTTGGTCTCACCAGGTTTACAAAATTTGTTGGCAAGGTATTAGTTTACTATATTTTAAAATTTCCCATGAATCAAATTAAGTTGTCAAACCAAAACTGAATCATGGCAAGTTTTAATCCCAACCAGGACCCACACTGGCAGGCACTTTCAAAAACAGATTATTTGGTAACAAAACTTGCGTCTTATTCTAAGTAACAAAGAAATTGCCTTAGAGACAAACTACATTATACATAGAAGTTTGCTGTCAACACTTGGCTTTGTTTCCTGCCCTTGAGGATTCTCATCCATGGTTACCTGTAAATTGTTTTTATGCCAGTGTAAAATAAATAGGAAAATAATGGATCAAGGAATAAATAGGTAGAGAGGAAAAAACCTTCAAATTATGGTAAAAGAAGGAAGATTAGTAAAAGATTTTTATGTTAGTGTACTATATTTTAAAATTTTCCACAAATAAAATTAAGTTGTCAAACCCAAAACTGAATCATGGCAAGTTTTAATCCTAACCAGGATCCAAACTGGCAGGCACTTTCAAAAACAGATTATTTGGTAGCAAAATATGTGTCTTATTCTAAGTAACAAAGAAATTGCCTTATAGACAAACTACATTATACATACAAGATTGCTGTCAACACTTGGCTCTGTTTCCTGCTCTTGGGGATTCTCATCCATGGTTACCTGTAAATTGTTGTTATGGCAGTGTAAAATTAACAGGAAAATTATGGATAAAGGAATATATAGGGCCTAGGTAGAGAGGGGAAAACCCTCAAATCATGGTGAAAGAAGGAGGATTATTTAAAGATGTTTCAAAGTCAAAGTCAAAACATATTTTATTTGTTGTTTTGTAATGAAAGTACATTGAACATGCCTCATTTCTTAAAACTAATCCTTATAATATAACTACCTAATACAATTTATGTCAATAAGTACAATAATGTTAAAAACACCATCATTTCTGTTTGCAAATGTTCAATTTAGGGTTGTTAGTTATTTTAAAACTCTAGTGAGTGTAATGCTCTCTCAACTAGGTGATCCCCTTTTGAGGGTCAATTTAGGGTTAATGTAGCATAGTATTTTTCGTTGATAACGGGAGGAGTTTACCCACCTCCAGAAACGTTGTGTAGTTTTAAACACGAGACACGTTGAAATAGTCCAATTTAATATAGAACATATTAAAAAAAACGAACGCCATTATGAATTTTAAAAACTCTGTAGTTTTTTAATGTTTCCAAATTTTTTTAGTGTTTAAGTTAGTTTACCATAAATTTAAAATTTTCCATGAATCAAATGAGGTTGTCAAACCCATAACTGAATAATGAAAATATTTAATACTAACTTAAGCTGGCAGGCACTTTAAAAAACTGATTATTTGGTAGCAAAATGTGTGTCTTATTCTAAGTAACAAAGAAATGCCTTGTAAACAAACTACATTTTACATAGGTACAAGTTTGCTGTCAACAATTTGTTATGTTTCTTGCTAATTTGGATTGTCATCAGTGGTTTCCTGTGACTTGTTATGACAACGTCAAATTAATATAGGAAAAACATAATGAGACAAAGTATGCATATGTAGATAGGAAAACCCTTCAAATTATGATAATATAAGGATGCTTGGATCAGGTTTTTTAGGTTGATTTATCATATTTTTATATTTGTCACAAATCAAATAAAATGTTCAAACCTGTAACTGAACATGCAAATCAGTAATCCTAACCAGGACCACAACTGATGGCAGGTACTTTCAAAAACAGAATATTTGGTAGCAAAATATGTGTCTTATTCTAGGTAACAAAGAAATTACCTTAGATACAAACTACATTATACATACAAGATTGCTGTCAACACTTGGTTCTGGTTCTTCTTTGATCAGTTGCTCAACAATAGAATCCTGTAAAGTGTTGTTTTGGCAAAGTCAAATTGATAGGAAAATTATGGATATGTATAGGTATATATAGGTAGATAAGGAAAACCCTTCAAGTATGTTAAAAGCAGGGAGATTAGTTCAAGTTGGTCTACCATATTTTTTAATTTATCACAAATCAAATGAAGTTTTCAAACCAAACTCATAACTGGATCAAAACAATTTTTAATTCTAACCAGGACCCAACTTGCAGCACTTTCCAAAAACAGATTATTTGGTAACAAAATGTGCATCTTATTCTAAGTAACAAAGTAATAGACTTATAAACAAACTATATTACCCAGGCAAAATCGAATTCATCACTATCTTCTTTCTCTCTCTTTTTTGGATTTTTCTCGATTCCCTGTAAATTTTTGTAATGACAATGTCAAATGAATATGGAAAAATGGAACAAGGTGTATATAGGTAGGTAGGGAAAACCTTCAAATTAAGAAGTTAATAGAAGATTATTTTAAGTTGTCCATGTTAGTTTAGAATATTTCTTTTTTATTTCCCAAGAATCAAATGAAGTAGTCAAACCCATAACTGAATTATGTCTATTTATAACTAATTAATTATTTCATTAGTTAACCAAGACCCAAAATGGCAGGCGATTAAAAAAAAAGATCATTTGGTAGCAAAATGTGTGTCTTATTCTAAGTAACAAATAAAGAGTAATAGCCTTGGAGACAAACTACATTATACATACAAGATTGCTGTCAACACTCAGTTTGGTTTCTTCCTCTTTTGGCTGCTCATCAGTAAAATCCTGTAAATTGTTGTTAGGGCAAAGTCAAATTGATAGGAAAGTGATGGATCAAGGTATATAAAGGTACATAAGGAAAGACCTACAAGTATATTAAAAGCAGGGTGATTAGTTCAAGTTGGTCTACCATATTTTATAATTTTCAAGAATCAAATGAAGTTTTCTAACCCATAACTGGATCAAGACAATTTTTAATTCTAACTAGGACACAACTGGCAGCACTTTCAAAAACAGATTATTTGGTAACAAAATGTGCATCTTATTCTAAGTAACAAAGTAATAGACTTATAAACAAACTTTATTACCCATGAAAAATTGAAGTGATCACTATCTTCTTTCTCTCTCTTTTTTGGATTTTTCTCGATTCCCTGCAAATGTTTGCAATGACAATGTCAAATGAATAGGGAAAAATGGAACAACGTATATATAGGTAGGAAGGGAAAACCTTCAAATTAAGAAGTTAATAGAAGGAAGATTATTTTAAGTTGTTTTTTTATGCATATTTCGAAGTTGTCAAACCCATAACTGAATTATGACTATTTATAATCAATTTTAACTAATACCCAAACTGGCAGGCACTTTCAAAAAAAAATTATTTGGTAGCAAAATATGTCTTATTTTAAGTAACAAATAAAGAGTAATCGCCTTAGAGACAAACTACATTATCCATACAAGATTGCTGTCAACACTTGGTTTTGTTTCTTCTATTTTCAGTTGCTCAACAATGAAATCCCGTAAATTGTTGATATTGGCAAAGTCAAATTGATAGGAAAATGGTAGATCAAGGTACAGTATATATAGGTAGACAAGGAAAACCCTTTAAGGGGAGACTGTACCTTTTCTGGTTCAATGCTTTTTAAATGGATATTCTCTACAAGTTCAAGTACATATAGCACTAAAACTACTAAACGTATCATACTGATTTTTTGCACACTTAATTATCACATCCATATCTTTATGTTAAACCACTTTTTAAAGAAATATATAAATATAAAAATTATTTTCAATCATTCAAAAAATACAAATTTGTATGCGATATTATAAAAATAAAATTAATTTTTTTTTAAATGAAAATGTATAACTAATCAATATATGATTGGTTTAATGTACTCACCAAGTACCCAGACTAATGAATGCAAAATTTTAAGTCTCTATGTATTACAGATTTTGAACTATGTGTACCTAAAGATAAAAAAACAAACTTTCGGAAAAACACACTTAAAGCTTTGCGGCACACACTCAAAGCCATAAGAATAGTGTGGCCGAAACCTTGGTAGAGTTAGCTTTGTTTATTTATTGTTATCATAAGAAGCTTTCTAATATTCTAAGTATTATATATTTTCTTAATCAGGAAGAAACGGAGATTAATTTTAGACGAAAAAGAATAATTTAATTTTTTAAGGCATAAAAGGTTCAGTCTCCCCTTAAGTATGTTAAAAGCAGGAATATTAGTTCAAGTTGGTCTACCATATTTTATAATTTAACACAAATCAAATGAAGTTTTCAAACCCATAACTGGATCAAAACAATTTTTAATTCTAACCAGGACCCAACTTGCAGCACTTTCCAAAAACAGATTATTTGGTAACAAAATGTGCATCTTATTCTAAGTAAAAAAGTAATAGACTTATAAACAAACTAAATTACCCATGCAAACTTGAAGTCATCACTATCTTTGTTTTCTCTCTTATTTGGATTTTTCCCAATGATTCCCTGTAAATTTTTGTAATGGCATTATCAAATGAAAATGGAAAAATGGAACAAGGTGTATAGGTAGGAAGGGTAAACCCTGAAGTTATGAAGTTAATAGAAGGAAGATTAGTTCAAGTTGTTCATGTTTGTTTAGCATATTTCTTTTTTATTTTCCAAGAATCAAATGAAGTTGTCAAACCCATAATTTAATATGACTATTTATAATCAATTTTAACTAATACCCAAACTGGCAGGCACTTTAAAAAAAGATTATTTGATATATGTGTGTCTTATTCTAAGTAACAAATAAAGAGTAATCGCCTTAGAGACAAACTACATTATTCATACAAGATTGCTGTCAACACTTGGTTTTGTTTCTTCTATTTTCAGTTGCTCAACAATGAAATCCCGTAAATTGTTGTTATTGGCAAAGTCAAATTGATAGGAAAATGGTAGATCAAGGTACAGTATATATAGGTAGACAAGGAAAACCCTTTAAGTATGTTAAAAGCAGGGAGATAAGTTCAAGTTGGTCTACCATATTTTATCATTTTCAAGAATCAAATTAAGTTTTCAAACCCATAACTGGATCAAAACAATTTTTAATTCTAACCAGGACGCAACTTGCAGCACTTTCCAAAAACAGATTATTTGGTAACAAAATGTGCATCTTATTCTGAGTAACAAAGTAATAGACTTATAAACAAACTATATTACCCATGAAACATTGAAGTCATCACTATATTCGTTTTCTTTCGTATTTGGATTTTTCTCAATGATTCCCTGTAAATTTTTGTAATGGCAATATCAAATGAATATGGAAAAATGGAACAAGGTGTATATAGGTAGGAAGGGAAAACCCTGAAGTTAAGAAGTTAATGGAAGGAGGATTAGTTCAAGTTGTTTATGTTTGTTTAGCATATTTCTTTTTTATTTTCCAAGAATCAAATGAAGTTGTCAAACCCATAATTTAATATGACTACTTATAATTCATTTTAACCAAGACCCAAAATGGTAGGCAACTTCAAAAAAAGATTATTTGGTAGCAAAATATGTGTGTCTTATTCTAAGTAACAAAGAAATCACCTTAGAGACTAACTACATTATACATACAAGATTGTTCTCAACACTCAGTTTTCTGTCTTCCTTTTTTGGCTGCTCATCATTAAAATCCTGTAAATTGTTGTTAGGGCAAAGTCAAATTAATAGGAAAATGATGGATTAAGGTATATAAAGGTACATAAAGAAAGACCTACAAGTATGTTAAAAGCAGGGTGATAAGTTCAAGTTGGTCTACCATATTTTATAATTTTCAAGAATCAAATTAAGTTTTCAAACCCATAACTGGATCAAAACAATTTTTAATTCTAACCAGGACGCAACTGGCAGCACTTTCAAAACAGATTATTTGGTAACAAAATGTGCATCTTATTTTGAGTAACAAAGTAATAGACTTATAAACAAATTATATTACCCAGGCAAAATTGAAGTGATCACTATCTTCGTTTTCTTTCTTATTTGGATTTTTCTCAATGATTCCCTGTAAATTTTTGTAATGGCAATGTCAAATGAATATGGAAAAATGGAACAAGGTGTAAAGGTAGGAAGGGAAAACCCTGAAGTTAAGAAGTTAATAGAAGGAAGATTAGTTCAAGTTGTTCATGTTTGTTTAGCATATTTCTTTTTTATTTTAAAGAATCAAATGAAGTTGTCAAACCCATAATTTAATATGACTACTTATAATTCATTTTAACCAAGACCCAAAATGGTAGGCAACTTCAAAAAAAGATTATTTGGTAGCAAAATATGTGTGTCTTATTCTAAGTAACAAAGAAATCGCCTTAGAGACAAACTACATTATACATACAAGATTGCTCTCAACACTCAGTTTGGTTTCTTCCTCTTTTGGCGGCTCATCAGTAAAATCCTGTAAATTGTTGTTAGGGCAAAGTCAAATTGATAGGAAAGTGATGGATCAAGGTATATAAAGGTACATAAGGAAAGACCTACAAGTATGTTAAAAGCAGGGTGATTAGTTCAAGTTGGTCTACCATATTTTATAATTTTCAAGAATCAAATGAAGTTTTCAAACCCATAACTAGATCAAAACAAATTTTAATTCTAACTAGGACACAACTGGCAGCACTTTCAAAAACAGATTATTTGGTAACAAAATGTGCACCTTATTCTACGTAACAAAGTAATAGACTTATAAACAAACTATATTACCCATGAAAAATTGAAGTGATCACTATCTTCGTTTTCTCTCTTATTTGCATTTTTCTCAATGATTCCCTGTAAATGTTTGCAATGACAATGTCAAATGAATGGAGAAAAATGGAACAAGGTGTATAGGTAGGAAGGGAAAACCCTGAAGTTAAGAAGTTAATAGAAGGAAGATTAGTTCAAGTTGTTCATGTTAGTTTGGAATATTTCTTTTTTATTTTCCAAGAATCAAATGAAGTTGTCAAACCCATAACTGAATTTTGTCTATTTATAATTAATTTTAACCGAGACCCAAACTGGCAGGCACCTTCAAAAAAAGATTATTTGGTTGCAAAATGTGTGTCTTATTCTAAGCATCAAAGAAATTGCCTTGGTTACAAACTGCATTATACATACAAGTTTGCTGACAACATTTTGATCAGTTTCTTCCTCATTTGGTTCCTCCTCAATCGTACCCTGTTAATTGTTGTTTTGGCAGTGCCAAATGAATAGGACAAAAATGGAACAAGGTAAATAAGGAAAACCTTAAAAATATGTCAGAAGAAGGAATATTAGTTCAAGTTTTTTTTTTATTATTTTACTATATTTGCATATTTTTAAATTTGTCACAAATCAGTAGTCATGAATGGAAAGGATTTAATAACTTTAATGAGACATGTTAGTGAGGTAGTATTTGTTGTTGTGAGTTGAGGGGGAATGAAGAGAGAGAGAGAGAGAGAGAAAGGGAAAAGGGGAGAGAGAGAAAAGATAGAGGGGGATATAGAGAGAGGATGAAAGAGAGTGATTGTTTAGGGTGGGGGGCATATGATTGTAGTGGTGATTGATGATTGTTCTTGTTGATTGGGGGGGGGGGTATGTTTGTTCGGGTTCGTTGTACATTTAACAGTACTGTATTTATACATGATAGTATGTTTTTATAATTTCAATTTGTTAAATTAAAAGATTTGGGTAAATTCTTCAATTGTATTGTAGCTATTGTCTTGTACCCGTATGTTTTACTTCTTCATGTAGAAAATTCTAGAATAGGATTATTAGGACATGTATCCTTGAATAGTCCTAGATCAAGGTAAGTTGTTGTTGTGTCATCTTACATATACAAATATACATACAAGTTTGGTGTCAACACTTGGTTTCGTCTCGTGCTCTTTGGGATTCTGCTCAATGGTATCCTGTAAATTGCTGTTATGACAGTTTCAAATGAAAAGGAAAAATGGAACAAAGAATATGTAGGTAGGTAGGGAAAATCTACAAGGTAAGCTTAGAAAAGGAAGATTAGTTCAAGTTTTTCACGTTAGTTTACCATATTATTTTTGATTTCCATGAATCAAATGAAGTTGTCAAACCCAAAACTGAATCATGACAATTTTAATTCTAACCAAGACCCAAACTGGCAGACACTTTCAAAATCAGATTATTTGGTAGCAAAATGTGCCTTATTCTAAGTAAAAAAGAAATTGCCTTATAGACAAACTACATTATACGTACAAATTTGCTGTCAATGCTTGTTCCTTGCTCATTGATATTCACCACAGAGAGATCCTGTAAATTGTAGTTATGGCAATGTTAAATTAAAAGGAAGAAATGGATCAAGGAATATATAGGTAGATAGGGATGAAGGAAGGAAGATTAGTTCAGCATATTTTAAATTTGCCACAAATCAAACATTTAACTGAATCATGACAATTTTGAATTTTATATAACCAAGAACCAAAATAATCAACCCTGAGTAAGGTCGATCAAACTGTACATTTTACGACTATCTTGAAAAGAACTTAGGTTAGTTTGAACTAGGTAATTCATAATACTCTTTGGTAGTATAAAATGGGTTGTTGAATATACATATCCCTATGGAAGAAAAGAGTAAAAAAAAATCATCAAACTAAAAGAACTTGACTATTATTTTTTAAATTATTTGTTAAAACTGATTAGCTGACAAAACATTGTACCATTTTGCGGTGGAAGGTGATGATGAAGCCATATTAAAAGTCAGAGAATTATAATTAAGATTTTAAAGGTTTTTAAAGTACACAATTGTTTTTTTATTGATTGGTTCTAAGACTGCTTGTGACAGGAACTTATCTAATACAGAGTATTTGTTAGCAAAATTGGCGGTTTATCCTAAGTAATGCATTGTAAACAAACTAGATTATACGTACAAGTACAAGTTTGTTTTTGTTCTTAACCTTCAGTTTGGGTTCAGATTCAGGTTCTTTAGGATTTTCCTCGGGTTTAGGATTTTCCTCGGGTTTAGGATTTTCCTCGGGTACCTGTAATTGGTGTTATGGCAGTTTCAATTAAATGAAAAAATGTAACAAGGTATATATGTTAACCCTTTCGGTGCTCTGGAACGATATATTGTTTGTCTTTTACCCGCAGACTGCTATGGAACTATATATCGTTGTTGGGAGTTTTTTTTACGGTGTTATTTATTAATACTATTTACGTTATTTGCGGCAAATGAAAGATGAATAAATGTTTTTTTAGAGAAATATGAATTATCATTTTGCACTTTATATAGTATTATATGTGTGTGTGCGTGTATTTATATGTATGTATATATGTATGTATGCATATGTGTGTATATATTTGTTTTAAGTGTAAATGTAACTTTGCTGTGTTGCCAACCTGGCCGACGGCCCTTCCGGCCAATGCCTAAAGTGTTTCTTTTGGCAGATGCCCTGCATGGTATCTGGAAATGTAAATAAAAGCAGCAATAAAACACTTTTTCATTTCATTTCACTTTATATAGTATACTTTTAACCATGATGGCTTCGAAATGCAAGAGGCAGTGGCATCTGCTGTGGCTGTTAGGTGTGCAATAAAAAAGAACGGCTGTTATTTGTCTGTGATTTGTTTAAGTGATGGTATTTCAGTGTTTTATTATGATTATTATTGCTATTTAGTGTTGATTATCAATTATCAATAACTTTCATTGAGAGTAAAAATAAACTTACCGGTAATAATTCACGTGTAAGTTAAAATACTTTGGCATATTTTGCAAGGGAATCTGAACTAAACATAAACAACAGTGACAATGAAAACGTTAATGATGTTAGTTGTGGACTCTAGCTCTAAAGAAGATAGTGATGACAGTGTATCCATAGTGGATGATATGGGTGCAGATCCCACTTTTGATCTTGATGTTCCTAGCACATCATCAGGATTCTCCCAAAGACGTTTACATTTACCATTTCTATCCAGAACTGGGCCTAGGCCCTATGATGATATGTCTGAGGAAGAAGTTGTACTTAGATAATTTTTTACATATATTCCTCTTGTTAGAGATCAGTACAATAATCAAACATTTGTCACTTGGATTGTAAGAATGGACAGAGTTGGCGTTCCTAAACAACTGAAAGGAAAATATTGCGTTGGTCAAAACAAAAGACATAGTCAGGAAAGGTCCTATTTTAATGATAGTCTTTAGAGAAAAGCCAACAAACCAAAAACAATTTATCCTAATATAAAGTGATTACCAAGCCAAACAATATATGCTACTCAATATAGAAGTGGCAAAGTTTTGATAAGAAATAAAACACAAATTCAATTCCAATATAACAGAGTAATGATGAGGAAGGGAGCACTGATTCACCTGATCAAATGCTCTATGTACATGGACAAGAGCATAGAGCATGCCTAAAATAAAAATGTTATTGGGCGCATGGTTCTCAACTCCTACATTTTGTTGAACCCCACCCAAGGCAAACTGGAAAGAGCTGACTGCATGAAAGACATTATAGAGAAGTTATCAAATGAGTGGCTGGCTACCAAATATGTTCCCGATGATGTTCGTGATAGTGGAGATGGTCCACAAAATAGAGGAGATGGTCCCCAAGATGGATTTGGCCTTAGAAAGCTGCGAGAAAGAAAAGAGAAACTTCGTAAAGACTGCTCTTGAATTAATAATCCAGAAGGTAAAAAAACTTGTTCGCGTACAGAATGTGCTCGGTGTGACGCAGAGGTACACCTGGAGTGCCTGATAAAACATGTGTGCCACTAAAAATGTAAAAACTATTTGTAAATGGTGTAAATATATTCTGAAATTTAAATTTAGGCCTATAGATAAAGACATAGATTTTGCCATATAAATAGACAATTTTCATCTGTGCCAGAGAGTATTTTGTGATTCCCAAGCAACAACACAAATACGTAAGTACATTTAAATTTTTTGTAACTTTTGTGAAAATATATCAATTTAATAGAAATTTTCTGGATTTATTGACATGGGAAATGATACATTCGGTATCCCTGTTTTTATTATTTTTATTTTAGAATGTTGAAATGCCTCAAAGTCAATGTTTTAATAATTTACATATAGCCTAAAAAAACATATACTTACATACATATAATCATTAGTTTGAAATTGTATTCAAACATATATATATATATATTTAGTTAGATCATTTTGTATTCAACAAGCAAAAACAAATTTCAGACAAATATCTTGATTTATAAGGGAGTTATGGTTTTTTTTTATAAACATCAACAAAATTCCCATTATTGCCTTAGCAGTCTAGGGGTGCAATTATTAAAATATGCTGGCAGTTTTTGAAAATCATCAAAAATAATCATTAGCACCGAAAGGGTTAATAGTAAAAATGTTTAAAGTATGCTAAAAGAAAGAAGAACAGTTCACGTTTTTGACATTGTTTTACCAAATTTTTTAATTTGTCACAAATCAAATATAGTTATAATCAAATCCTTATACAACTAATCACGGCAATTTTAAATTTTAACCATGACCCAAACTGAACTGACCCTGTTTGTATATTTTACAAGTTTAGTGAAATCAACACAACATGTAATCAAATGTTGTATAAAAACATCATATTAAATGTTTTCACAAGGTATGGTAAAATGAGTTTGTTACTTAAATAACAAACTTAGAATAAGGCATGGGATTACTAATTTTAAACTGCTGTTGTGAACGATAGCATTGTGTCAACATTTTTTATGACTACTAAAATTATTACACAATGATTTTCTTAAAATTTGTCATGGATGATGAAATGGCTGTAAATAGTGACCGGAGCCATTTAATGTTTAAATCCATTAGCAAGACCCGGTAGGTAGTACCACATACAATAAAAGGCTGCGTGTACAAAGGTAAACCAAAATAAGAGTATTTTTTAATCTAGTATATAAAATAAAAACTTTTAATACTTTTATTAATCCAAGAGAAAAGTAATTAGAAAAAGATATTTATCAGTAGCTGCAGATTTATGATGATACATAAAAGTCACATTTCTGTTTTAATTAGGTAGGCCTAAGTATTGTCTTTTACAATTATTGTGGGAATAAATAACTAATCTCTAAAACAAGAAAACATTTTTGTTTGGTAACAAATATTTACTGTACTACAGTGCTATCTTTCCTTCCTATGAAATTTCAATTTTAGTAGATTAAAATTGATTGATACAAATATATTGTATTGTAAACATTGTGTGATGTTTTGTTTGTGTTTAAGGGGAGCCTCAGAAATTACATATAGTCCTGACCGTTGTACTTGCTTCCTCTTCACCAGTACTGTACTTAAGACTGAGGGTTCGTCAGGGTGCTTTTGGTGTTGTAAAAGGCGGGTCAGGTTAGGTTAGGTCTAGGTAGGTCTAGGACTAGGTTAGGTCATACTATTCTTTGATGGTTTACAAAATAGGATGTAAAATATAGATAGATGTAGAAGAAAATGGTTAAACCAAACAAACAAAATTTAACATAATTGGTTGAAATTATAAAAAAAGTAGACTTAATACTTTACCATTTTGCGGTGGTAGACGATGATATATGGGAATTTTTCCTTGATGGTTCTCCTTCTTTTTTTCTGTAAATTGTTGTTAAGGTAGTGTCAACTGAGTAAAAAAATGGAACAAGGCATATACAGGTGGATAGGTAAAATCCTTCAAAGTATGCTGAAAGAAGGAAGTTAGTGCATGTCTTTGACAATAGTTTACCATATTTTTAAATTTGCCATAAATCAAATAAAACTATATCAAACTCTTATGCAACTAATCATGCCCCATGAATTGACCCTGATACTGACAATCAAACTGTACAATTTATTCAGCATTGCCTCCAGGATTGATTTATGACAAAATAAATAAGTTTACGTACCTTACGTCGTCAAATCCTTTTGTAGTCTCGGGCGACTAGTTTCGAAACAACTATTTATTTTGTCAAACTCTACACTTTAAAAGTTTAGTGAAAAAAACTCAACATCATAAACATTAAACAAAAGCATTATTAGAAGACAGACTTATGAATTTGTCTGTTACTTAAGTGACTTAAGAATAAGATCATTTGGGATAGCCAAGCATTGGACTACTGTTATGAACTATAAAGCTTTGGCAAAATTTCAAAATGACTACAGTAGTTATGGTCGTTTTTAAGTCTTAAGTCACAGACATTGGCCACTAAATTATTGGTCACATCACTCAATTTGCCAATATAATGCAAAGAGTGCCTAATCAGGTATCAATATTATCTATTTTTTATGCATTGATAAATGAGTTTCGTCTGCAAGATGGCGGGTGGTGAGTCTGAAAGTATTTGTAGCTCGTGCGATAAACTAGTCCAGAATCGTCATAACGCAGTGAAGTGTTATGGGTGGTGTAAAAAATGGTGGCATATCGCCTGTGCTAGCATTTCAAAAACCAATTTCGATCATTTTAAGTGTATTTTTCAAATGAAAGGAATAAATTGGTACTGCCAATCGTGTTCAGAACGAGTTGCGATCATACTGGCGAACGACTCCGTGAACAACTCGGGATTCGGAACTGATGAGTCGTCTAAGAACTGCCCACAGAACGCTTCGGATCTGACTCAAATCATTAAGGAGCTGAACGAGATAAGGAAAAGTAACTTGTCTATGTCTGAAGGGCTCACTAGACTAGAAAGTGAGAGCGAAATTATTAGATCTAAATTAAATCAAGTTTTGAGTGATACTTGCCAACCTACCAAGACTCTTGCGACAGAACCATCTCTCCAGAACAACTCCCGTTCAACCAGTTCCAAGCAGACGAATCAAGATCGGGAAGATGGTTCCTCTACCATAAATGTTATGATGACGCCGGTTGATAACCCCAAGAAAGCAGATTTTGACCGTGAACCATTACCCTGTGTTTGGAATATTGAGAAGACGTCTGTGAATGGAAATAACGTAATATCCAGTGACTCTTTCCCCGAAGTGAGTGCTTCTAACTCCATCAGAAACCCATGGAGGACAGTTAGGCACAAGAAGAGAACTACCGTGCAAAATAGGTCTAATCCTAACCTAGAAAATGGAAGGCCAGAACTAACGAATCAAGAAACTGTTAGGCCTACTAAACCTAAAGGAAATGGCAGGCCCACCCGGAAAGTATTAACTGGCACTGGTAAGTTGACAAACAGTAATGACAGTTCTAACCTGAAGGCAGTGAAAAGGACTAAATTTATTTTTGTTTCGAGACTTCAACCTTCGGTCGAAAAGGCCGATGTCGTAAACCATCTTACATCATTCAAAAGTGGCGATTATGTTGTTGAAAAGCTGAATACCAAGTATCCAACCTATAACTCCTTCAAAGTTGGTGTTCCAGAATCGCTATGGGATAGCATTTTTTGTGAGGACTTTTGGCCGGAAAACACTTTCATCAGTGAATTCAAACTTCCAAGGCGCAATTTAAACTCTCAACGCACGGCCGAGACTGGGGCAAACATAGCCTAAACCCAGTAAATGATAACCTTAATGTCTTGTTTCTTAATGTGCAGGGGTTACATTCCAAGGAAAACATCTTAGGCCTACATGCTGTGAGTAATCAGTATGACTTTCTCTGCCTTAGCGAGCATTGGTTGAACCCAAACGAGGCAGGTTATGTTATCGTTGAGGGTTATGAGCTTTCATCGATATTTTGTCGTAAAACCCATATAAGAGGTGGCGTCGCAATATTCGCCAATAATAGCAAGCCTACTAGGCCTACCTTCCAAGTGTTGGACATTGAATGTTTTTGTCATGAAATAAGCTTTGAATGTGTGGGAATAGTTTTAGATAATCCTAAAATCATAATTGTTTGTATATATCACTCTCCTGCAGGGGATGAACTTATATTTCTGAATAATCTGGAGCTACTACTGATCCACCTGAGTAAATTGAAGATGAATATTGTTATTGGTGGCGATGTAAACTCAAGATTTGATGTTACCCGAGATCAGCCTAGTGTTAGAAGATTACTTAACCTACTCAGGCAATTTGATTGTGTTTACTTAAATGACAAGCCTACTCGCAAAAAAGCTTGTCTGGACAATATTTTTACAAATGTCCCGACCAACTCCTGCTCCACACACATCGTTCACCCTGACATAGCTGATCACGAAGGCCTGGAGTTGAGGCTAATAACGGCATCAGAAGCTGCTAAACCATATATTGAGGAAATTATGCACCGCAGTCTTTCCCCAAGGTGCTTAAACAACTTTAAAGCTGAACTGGGGAATGTGAACTGGCCTAACATCCTGAACAGTAACCGTGCGGCCGATCAGTCAGCTGAAGAGACTTTCAATTTATTTTTTAACAAGCTGATTGATATTTTCAACTTAACTTGTCCTGTTAGTTACCTAACCGCAAAGAAGATTTCCGGACGTAAGGACAATAGGCCTAAAAGTGGAGTGGCCTGGTATAGTGATGACCTCAAGAAACTTAAGGAAACAGTTATGGCTTACCGTACTGTCTACATGAACCTTAGAACTGATGCCTCGTACAGTGCCTACAAAGAACTAAGAAACCTCTATAAAAACGTTGCGAACAGAGCAAAATTAGCCGCAAACGCTGACTTCATTGAGCGATCAGCAAACAAATGCCAAGCAGCGTGGACGATAGTAAGGTGAGTTTCTGGAGAGAAGAAGGAGGTCAGCAACAACCATTCTGCCGAGGACTTCAATAGATTCTTCATCGACTCCGTAAACGATGTTCGAGCCAGCATTCCTGTGAGTCCCCTGCCTGCGGATCACTTCCTGCAGCAAGTGAAGAGGCCCAGCACCCAACTTGAGTGGAATGAAGTGTCATGTGATGATGTGCTCAGTGCAGTGTCAAAAATGAAATCCTCAAAAAGCAAAGATGTGTATGGTCTCACAAGCAATATTGTTAAACACATTATCTTTGAAATAGTAATGCCCCTTGTCTTTTGTATCAACCTATGTCTGAAAGAAGGTGTTTTCCCAACCTCCCAAAAAATTTCTCGAGTCATCCCAATTTTCAAAAAAGGGGAAAAATCACAGATTAAAAATTATCGTCCTATTTCTCTGGTCCCTATAATTGGCAAGATCATTGAAGCTGTCATCAAACCTCAGGTATGTTCTTTTTTTGACACAAACAAAATTTTTTCAAATTTTCAATTTGGTTTTCGTAAAAGTTTGTCTACCGTGGATGCCCTGGACCACCTTGTTTCTAAGATTTTGAGAGCTTTTGAGGAGTCGAGCTTTGCTCAGATCACAGCTTGTGATCTGAGTAAAGCATTTGACTGTATTGATCACAACATACTCATCACTAAGCTGGAGTACTATGGCATCCGCGGTATACAGCTTAAGTTTTTTGATTCATACCTGAGAGAGAGAACTCAATTCGTTGATGCAGGAGGCAAGATGTCAAGCTGCTTGAAAGTTAGCTCAGGTGTGCCACAAGGCTCGATTATAGGCCCCCTTCTTTTTATCACAGTCATCAATGACCTACCAGCCAATATTAAAAGATCCTCTACCATCATGTTTGCGGACGACACCAATTTTTTGAGTGTTCATCCCAACTTTTATGATCTTATGTCAGTAACTGAGCTCACAACTGATTCAGCTTATATGTGGTTTAATGCTAATAGCCTTTGTCTTAATAAGAATAAAACTCAAAATCTATTGTGTAGTCTTAAAAACATTCCAGTAGAGTCACAAGATGTAAACAATGAAAATGTAATTACAGTTTTAGGAATAAAAATTGATAAATGTTTAAGCTGGTCTCCTCAGATAGATTTGGTTTGTGCAAGATTGTCCAGAGTAATCTGTTTGCTTAGAAATCTTATGGGTGTTGTACCTGAAACCTACATAAGGGTAGCCTACTTTGCATTTTTCCAATCCATAATTAGCTACGGCTTGATTCTTTGGGGAAACAGTAGTCACATAAGTGAAGTGTTAATACTCCAAAAGAAGGTAGTTAGAATAATAAACAAAGCTCCAATTGAAGAGCATTGCAAACCATTGTTCATAAGAAGTAGAATATTGACTGTGATTAATCTGTACATATTTATGTGTTTACTTAGGGTTAAGAAAAATACTAGTTCCCATGTTTATAGGTTTAATATCCATTCACACAACACACGTAATCAGTTCCTATTAGACGTGCCTTATTGTAGGTTAAGTAAATGTAAAAATAGTTACCATGTTATTTCATTAAGATTATTTAATAAGCTTAGCATCAATGCCAAAGAATTGGACCTTAAGTCATTTAAAAAAAGAGCTCAGGATTGGTTACTTTTAAATCCTTTTTATGACTTAGAAGAATATTTTAAGGTTGACGAAGTTAACTTTTAATGTCCTCACATTTCCACATTGTTTTTTATTTGTAAGCATATGTATTAGTATAGCCTATTTTGACTTGTTTTTAGGCTTGTTTTGTTTTGCCTAAAAATAGGCTGTTTATGTAATAGCTGAATTTTCTTGACTTTTGTCTATTGCATTTGTTGTAAATGTTGAAGGACAATAAAACGTTTCTGATTTCTGATGAACATTTTAGTAGATTATAATTTTTTTGCCGAACTATATTATATTGTAAACATTGTGTCATGTTTTGTTTGTGTCTATGAGGAACCACTTTAATTACATATAATCCTGACTGTTGTACTTACTTCCTTTATCCTCTTTGCCACTGTCTTTAAGACAGGAGTTTGTCATGGTGGTTGACCAGGTTAGGTTAGGTTTAGGTTAGCTTGGGATAGGTAATAACATTCTTTTATGGTGTTAATTGGGTGGTCAAACATAGACAGTCATGGAAGAAAAGAGTCAACCCAAAAAAGGATCAAGCTAAACATGCGTTAACTTAATTGGTGACTAAGTACTGTACCATTTTGCGATGGTAGGAGGTGATATAGCTGGGTTGTTGGCAGGAGTTGGTGTCTATACTGTCAGCTAGGCTACAGCTGGAGGCACTACAGTTGCCACTGTCAGGAATAGTCTCAGCCACCTCCACGACCAGTCCGTCTGCAGTAGTAAGGCACACCTGAGGCACAACACAAACATCAAACGTTAAATAATATACTGGAGTGCCACCTTGGTAATAGTAACATGTGATAAAAATGGTAATATTATTTCACTTTTCACTGAAAAGCTAAGGAACGTTCCTGACTATCATAGCAAAGTCGTCTCTGTAGCTGACGTGCAAGTTTCACTGTGTGTCTAGAAGATAATGTTTAAAATGATTGGATCACACGTCGCGTGCAAGGTAAGGTCAATGATAAGGTTTTTTACTACAAGAAACATATCGGCTGCAGACATTCATCGCTAGATGATTGAAGTATATGGCCCTAATGCAATGATAGAGGACAAAGTGTAGAAATGGGTTTAAGAGTTTAAAAATGGCTGTAAAAATGTCCATTTCGGAAGAAATTGTGTTTCTGGCGAATATCCAGACTTCACACAGAATACTACAAAGAAAATGGTTTTCAAGCCATTTTTTACAGTGCTTATCCCATTTACACATCTTACCCTCATTAATTGCATTAGGGCCATAACCTTTAGTCATCAGGCAATAAATATTGACATCAAATGTGTCTCTTATGGTCAAAAATTGTATGACTGACCTCATCACGCATGCAGCAGGAGATTCAATTGTTTTAAAAATTTACTTAACACAGCGAAGCGTACACATCAGCTACAGAGCTGTAAATGGCACCGTTTTGTTCACAAATCATGCCAGTACACAACGAGGAGCCTCGTTGAGGCGTAATGCAAACTAAGAATTTACTTGCACAAACGGCCCTTACTTATTTTTGTTTAAGATATGTTCTAACAATTTACTGGAAATAATAGTTAACAAAATATATCCTGTAGCACACCTTTACAAGAGATGTATTTACTAACAGTTCCATACCTTAGAAATATTTGAATGGACTAAATTGTTATGGATTGAAACACTGTCACACAAACCTCAGAATCAGTTGGACTAGAAACGTTATTGTGGTCTTCGCTGTGGAATACTGCATGTTGGTACACTTTATGGGGAACAGCTGAAACGATTAAGATTTTGTTTAGTAAGTTTTTAAGTGTAGTTTAAAAACTAATTAGTATCACATCTAAAAAAAGAACATTTTTGAAACTATGTAAGTGTTGTCCTGTTTATTAACCCAAATACAAATTGAGGAGGAGAAGTTCAAATATTTTTTCAATGACTTAATATTTCTATAACAGTCACTGTAAAATAAAATAAATATTTAGTAGCACTCTAGTAGCATTGGGATCATTGTCGAGAAGTAGGATTTTGATCAAAAGTTTGTAATTGTTTTTAAGGTTTCTAAGACAAAAATCAGTCAGCTAGTAAGTGACAGGTGACAGTTGGGTAGTTTAATTTGATAGGTTATGTTACATCATATATCCTATTACAATTTTGTGGAATGATTGGTTAAAAACCTTACCTCACTTTAGTGCCTAAATATGGAACAGATAATCTGCTCAAAGCAATTGATTGTAAACATCCTGACAGAAATTTAGTAGGGATGGACGGGATTGAATTTTTATGTTCGGGACGGGACGGGACGGGATTTTTAATTCCTTCCCGATTTTCGGGACGGGACTTTTTCCTGTGCATAAAAAGAGTCATGAGTACGGTATTGCAGTTGCCAAAAAAGACAAACGAAATCAATTTTTACCATTTGAGGCACTGGTCTATCAAAACAAAAAAATTGGTAAAAATTTACAGGTATAGAAACTTGTGACTCGCGGTCACGGTGCGATCATCAGTATGACTCCGCGGTCACAGCGTGTTCGTCGGTATGACTCGCGGCCACGGCATGATTGTCAGTACGACTCGCGGTCACGACTGATCGTCGGTATGACTCACGGTCTCGCCGGTATGATTCGCGGTCACGGCGTGATCGTCTGTATGACTCAGGGGTCAAGGCCTGATCGTCGGTATGACTCAGGGGTCACGGCCTGATCGTCAGTATGACTTGCGGTCACGGCGTGATCGTCGGTATGGCTCCGCCTCCTGCGTTCACGGAACTATCGTGAACATCTCTCGCGATAGCGGCATAATCGTCACTCGCGAAGGGGCAAAATTGTCGACGATTGGATCAAATCCCATCCCGAGAAATTCCCGACTCAAATGTAATCCCGTCCCGAAAATCGGGAATATTTTTTCCTGAAAATTTCCCGAAAATTTTGGGACAAGTCCATCCCTAAAATTTAGTTCTTTACCTATATTGTTTTGCTATTGTAAATAACATTGCCAGTTTCAAGAGAAAGTATTCAATTACTAAATACAGAATTACCTACAAACAAAATTAGGAGTTATGAATCACTTGCATGTCAAAGTGCGCGAACCAGAACTGTGTAAAACAAGAACTACCTTGACTTGTTCCCTGACTCCTTTGTAAATTTCACATTAAATCCTAATGTTTCAGTTCTACAGGCACGCTCAATAGTTATAATATGTGAATTTGGTACAAACACTTAGTTATAATATTTTACATACAACCAATCTTACCTGGGGTAACAGTAGGTTGAGTAGATCGCTGGATAGCTTGAAACGTCTGAGCTTCCCTTTGAGACTTAAGGCTGTTGATGGACAATCTCTCCTCGTCTCCAAACACAGACCCGCCCTGACAAGGAGGTAGTTCGTAGGCATACAAAATCCCAATTTGGCCACTTGGGGGGGCTTTGATCTTGTGATCATCATTGGGTACATTCTGTAAAAACTACTAATCTCATTCAAATGCTCAACACAGACCTGAATGTTTTGCAAATAATGCTTTTATGAATGGTAAATGTTATAAATATAAGAATAATACTTCCACCTATTCACACACAGAGATCAAACCAAAGTAAAGTCTTATATGTTTGAAACTACAGGATATTTTACTAATGAACATCAGAAAAGTTACTGCCAGTTATTGCCAGCTTTCTACATTTGAAAACAATAGCATATTAGGCAACAGCAAATCCCTATCTAATAAAGAAAATGTTATATCCAACAAAATGTCTAATTTTTTCAAAATAATTTTTGTTGTAGATATATTTAAAACGGGTAATAGAACATATACAATGAATCTTCACTCTTCTACTACCTTACTAACATTCTTTCTATTAACATTATTTTTGTATCTCAGTCTATAATCTGTCAAACAATTTTCAACTTATTTGTAGTATGAATAGAATCCGGATTGCGTAGAATAACTAGTAATAGTAGTTTGAATACCTGATTCTGGCAATCCAATTGTGGATTATTTCACAACTAGTTTCGGCCTACTAAGAGGTCATCATCAGGTACAAAGTAAAAAGTACAAAATTCCCGGCGACTAATATAGGCTACTTATAAGAAAAGCCCAATAAAAGTTGTAAAAACAAATTAAAATAACGGATATTGGTAAATAATTAAAAACCCAAATACATTTATTACAGCCCTTGAGGAAAATTAACTCTTAATATTCACTCGACATTCGACAAACACTGCAAATTAAGGTTAAAAATTAGCATTAATGAGTTTAAAATTTTGCAAAATAAACGATTTTCGCGTTATATTTGCCAATAGTTACTTATGACTAACTGTAAACCGGTAAAAAACCAATAATTATTACAATTAAAACTTATGTATTTTCCAAAATTAACTTAACTTAAAAGTCAAAGCTAAAACATCAATTCAATCCACAGTCGAGCGTCGATTGGGAATCGTATTGTCATCACGTAAATTGTCGTGTCGTCTGTCTAGTGGCTACACTCTACAGTACAGTTCCGACATTGTTTGCTACACGAACGCACAACGCGAACGCAGACAAATACATTGCGGTCAAGGTTAAGTCGATACCTGCAATGGCGGCAATAGTTGCCCATTGAACTAGAGCTACAACGCAACTGAAGGTATCACCACAAACAATAGAACTCTCTTTGGTATCACTGAATGCTAGAATTGAGAGACGTGTTGGCCACCATATGCACTAGGGGAATAGTACTTTGAAACTAGGGGATTGTGGAATTGCCAATATCCAATGAGCAGGTTGATTCTTCTAGTGGTACCAACAAAACAACATTTTACAGCGTCTCAATTTTCTAGCAGAGTTGCTGTGCTACCTCCATTTGGATGTTTTCAGTCTACGACTATTTCGTTTCGTAAAAAGCAAGAGCGGTTCCCTGATTCCGTTTACTTATCAGACTTGGATACGATAAATAACTGAGATCGCACGATAATTTTGAGCCGGCATGAACTACGTTGGTTGTCTGATTCAGAATTCAAACATGGATGATATGAACAATAAAACATTGACCATGGCAACTTCCTTAAAAATATGAGTTTTTACATGGAATCGGTATCAAGAATCGTGAGTAATATTTCAGAACTGGTATAGAACCGAGAAATTCTCTTATCGGCCTATCCCTAATTAAAATACAAATAATATACAACTAGGACGTAATTCAAGCCATAACCTTGAGTTTTGAGACCGATTTTCGCTTTGTTCCAGCTATGTGTATGTATATCGACACTGCTGCTACCCTGCTACACGCTTCACGTTATTATAGAGCTGGTGGCGAGTCAGCGTATTCTGTCGGCGGACCCGAGATTTGATTCTCGAATCTGGTTAATTTCTAATCTGAATCTTCCATAAATATACATTAACTGTAAAATTTTTCGGATAAATTGGCCCAAAATTGTTAGAACTATAAAATTCCTTGTAAATAAACGAACATAATGATAATATAGTTGAAATTCACGGAAAATCACTGAATAATACCAAGCATGTTCCCTTGTTTTTTTCACGGCAGTAAAAAATTAAAATTCACACATAATTCCCGATTTTCCCGGAATTCCCGGTCGCTGACAACCCTGTTACAGCTATTTAGTTATTTATAAATATTTAAAAATATTTCTATAATCTAATTGAGTTCAATTAAAAAATTGCCAATCACCTTAATTTGTGAGTTACTCAGCTCAGCCAGTTTGATGAAGAAAGGCTGAATGTTACACAAACTAGCCAGCTGTTGTTTGAGAGCGGCATACTTGTCATCTTGATTCAGACGTAGTCCATACTTTGTCGGGATTGATCCATCTAATCTGATCACTGGAAACAGATATAAAGAATTCATTCAAGTTTACCTATGGTATTTATTGGAGGAAACAATGCAGGACTTCTTTTCTCTAGGTCCTAAGAATTACCATCTCTAATCAGTGTCCAAATAGTGTAATTCAAATAGTAGATTAGATTACTTGAATTTGTCCAAACAATAATCTATGACGACTAGGGTTTAAAAGAAAAACGTCTTCTCCTCTGTTCATTAAACTATCCTTAATGATTGTATTTTAAATTTGGCTGGTCGCTAGTAATTTACTCCCAATTTCAAAAACTTGCTTTGTACTGTATTGTCCATCTGTTGATTATTCACAGTGAACCTCTCACATCGTAAGAGCTTTTGCAGGGTGTCCACAGAAAATTTATCTTTAATTTCCATAAATTTCCATGACTATCCATGACCATTTACCATTGATTTTCATGACTCACAAACTTTACTTGAGAATTATAATATAACACACACACACAAATAATACTGACTAGACAAGTTATTTCACAGAAAATACTGAAATATGTATTAACAGATAACGATGGAGTACAATAGGTACAACAACGAAATAATACAAACTCAAAACTCATAAACTAATACAACTGTAATAAATTGAATTGTCGTACATTTGTGAAAAATGCTACAATAGTGTAGGTTACGGCTGACTAGAGCATTGAAAGGTCCCCTCAAATCCATTTATCATTAGGAATTTCCATGACTTTCAATGACCAGATTTTTCCATGGCTATCCCTGACTTTCCAGAATGTGAACACCCTGTTTTGTCATTTGTTACTTTTTATTTTATAAATAGTTTACCATTTTAAAATCAAGCCACAAGGTTGTCATGCCAAAGCCAAACCAACCCACACATCTTCTACTCTTCCGTAAAAAATAGCAGAGATTTAATTAACCATTAAATTAACTATGTTTTAAGGGTACAGTTGTAATAAAAAATGTGACTTCAAGCCCTTTATGACAAAACTTATCTGATTAAACCTTTGGGAATTAGAATTTTCAATTATTTCAAATTTGTTAGTAGTACCTTGATGTTAAAATTAACTAACCTGTCACTTGCATATGTATGTAGGATTCCATGGGTAAAGGCAGAGAAAGATAGTTAAATGGGTCAAATCTTACAGACTCATGACCACATTCCTTGCATCGAACCTTAGACTTCAGCTGGCCGTGAAAAAGATCAACAATGATAGATTTATTTCTTAGTATGTGGTTCTCCCATGCCTGAAACAATGATAAATGAATAAAACACTGTTATTTGAATTTTTAAGCTCAGATAGGTTATCTGAGGTTTAGTCCATTATGCGATGGACATGGACTGTAATTTTAGTGTAAACTATTGATTAACAGTGCAGTATAGTTTGAAGCTAAAGAATACAGAACAACCAAATTTTCATATAAGTTTTATAAGATTATTTTGAATAGACAACATAAAGAGGTTCTATGAAAGTTAATTCAAAGCTGTAGTATTTCTGTATAGAATCAAGTAGTAGTAAAAGCTCCTACAATTTATCTGATGATTTGTGTACAGTCTATTTTAGTAAGTATTAAAGTCAATCCAAATTCAAGCTTTTAAAAACTCCAAAGATTAATATAAAAATTACACTCCTTTAAAATAATTTCATTTTACTTCACTGAAGTATATTAACCTTTCACTCAACTTTATTGAGATCTTTTGGCTTTCACAGCCAGTAACAACACTTTCACAGAAAAAAATCACTAAACAGAGAAAGTAAAAAGTTACCTCTTGAGCTACATTGACATCACAGCGACCATCGCTGTCATTCAGTTCTACGTAAGGTTTATCATGTACTCGATTAAGGTCTTCATGAAGACCGTCCAGCAAAAACGCAAGCAGTTCCTGTGCATCATGCTGCTGCGAACCATTGAAGCGAGGGGCGTACTTGCCGATTGTCCACTAAATAAAAACAAAAAAAGTAAAAATACCATACAAGGTTGTTGCAGTATCTAAGGCTGATTAGTAACTAGGCATGGGTTTTTTTGGGTTCGCTGCATGACTAGCATAGTACAGTCACCTTAGTCTATGTGACTTGTACTACAGTGTAGACCCCCTCTTAACCGACCTCGTATTAACCGATAATCCGATTATCCGCCTTCGATCGTAAAATAATACAGTTTGTTTTAACCCACCTTGCTTTGAGAGCAGTTCGGTTTAACCGCCGCTTTCTAGGAATTTCGGCATTTCCGCTCCCACGTTGGGCGATGAGAACTGAACCAGACGCTTATCTCTATAGGATATAACTAAGAATAAATTGTTTTGCATTGATCAAAAAAAATATAGCATAGCCTATTGTCAGTTTGTCAACATCGTTCTTAGCTAGAGCACATCTGATCTGATTTGTTATCTGTGCGACAAATTTATAACATCATAGTGTTACGATTCCGAGAACTGATTATCTTATCGCTAGAGTAAACAAACAAAGCAACTTGTAGGGAGGGCAGGGAAGGGGGGTTAACAACTCCAAGGTCAAGATAGTTTTTGTGCCTCGAGCCTCCAGTGAGAGGCTGTAAATAAACATCCTGTCTTGTAACAAAATGGTTCCTTGTATCTTTAATTTTGACAAAAGGTTCTGTACTGTATTTCGATGGATTTGGAAAGCATCAATTAATACATTACAGTACTAAAGTTATTAAAATAGGAGTGTTATTGACTCTTGCCTAGTATTATAATATACTGTACTGTATTCCACTGAAAGTAGGCGTTTTGTGTTTATTTGTGACTTTACTATCAATACGAAAAAGGAGATAAGAGTAGTTTATTTTATAAATAATGCAAGTAAGACTTTAAAATAATGATTATATAATTCCAAATGAATAGCACTTCATGTTATGATTTTAGGGATTGTCCGTTTTAACCGACCTTTTGAGTTATATGACCTAGATCCAGTCCCATTAGGGTCGGTTAAGAGGGGGTCTACTGTACCATCTTTGTATCATTGCAGAAACCTAGTCTAACAATGTCTATAATAACAATAGGCAAATGAAATAGAAAGAAAGAAACAATATGAATATACATAATATTTATTATTTAACGTCATCTAGAGGGCAGTTATTATAACTATACACCCCAGGCCAAATAGATAATTTATTTATTTATTTCAACTGACATCTCCATTTTACATATAACAAATAAAAAAAGTACAAAAACTCTTAATTGATCACTTATGGAGCCATCAAGGACTAATTAAGAGAATGTGATAGTAGAAAATGTGGTATACTAGCTAAACAGCCATTTCCTTCAAAAGAAATGGAACCTATTTGGAATTTCAAGGTGTCTGTGGTTTTGTTTCTAGTGTTGTTTGGGTGATGTTAATGGTATGTTGTGTTATTGGATTGTTTTTATTGGTTTCTGGTGTTGTTTTAGAGTTGTCAAATATCCATTATGTAATGTTTTTGTGTAATATTTTAGAAAGGAAAAGATACTTTACCCTTAGCTTGAGAGGAGCCACAGTTTTGGCAGACCCACTCCATATCTCATGAATCAGATCTCCGTAGCGCTTCGCCATGTTTCCCCTCATCCCCAGAGTGTTTGTCCTAGAAAAACATAACCATATGATACATTGGGAATACTTCAACCAGCAAGTCAGTTACATCTTGACATATTTGGGAAAGTTAGTCAAAAATTCTAACTAGGTAGAAGTTATTAGTTAGTCCCATAAAAAGTAACTGATAGAAGTTATTAGTTAGTTAATTTAAAAAGTAACTGATAGAAGTTATTAGTTAGTTGAAAAACTAACTGATAGAAAATAAAGATAGTTTTTGTAGAAGTAGGCCTAGCTGTTTGTTGGGCAGTTGTTTTAAAGGCTTTCGTATGTAATGAAATAATGACACATCTTGGTAACTAATCTATACTATAATATGAGTAAAGTTTACGCACAATGATTTAAAAAAACGGTTCCTACGATTTCCTCCAAATTGTTAGATATATCTTAGTTTTAGGCTAAAAACAATATTCATACCAGCCTCTGTTCTGGGAAAATTCAATTTTTCGTCAAAAACTTATTTGGATTGTATGATGTATTACTAACCAAAGGATAATTACAGCTGTTTAAAAACATTAATTTTACAGCAAAACATTATACACTGATATTGAATTAAAGTCTAAAGGAAAGGCCAAGGACGTTTTGTAGTTTTTAACGATGTGCCGCACAAATTGGTGCGTTATTACACCATCCCGTAGTTATAGTTGCGACGTTCCGTGATCCCAATGGCTAATGCAATAATAACGGTCAACAGATAAGTAGATAACAGATGTTTTGTATCATATCATGAGTTTTATGTAGAAGCTTATTGTAGAAATTTTATAAATTGCTCATCCACATGAAAAAGTTTGTTAGGAAAATTAAGGATGAGTGGATGTCTACCGAAAACAAATTGACTTTACAACTTAATTAATCGAAGTAAAACTGAAAATATTTGTAGACTTATAAGTTCTATTTTTTTTACCTCTTGAACAAATGAAACACCTTGAGCAATGCTCAGTCTCCTATTACTTTTGTTTTAATCAAAAATTTTCACTTTTTACATTGCTACAACAGAAACAAAATATTTGACTTAAAACTTGTCACTGTCAGATAATGAACATCAACTGAGGACAATGTTTTACACTTATATTAACTTGAGTGTATAATCACCAAACAAACATTCCCCCTTCCCACCCCTCCGTGCTTGGGGTGTTGTTATTGGCCGTCAATGCCCTTCCACGGGCCCACTGAATACCAAAGCAACTGAACTTTGACTTTCTCTTTCCCCACCCCCGCGTTTTTTGTCAACAAGGGCGCTAACCCCTCACGACCGCACGCAACCCTCACTGATCACATAACATAAATAACCCGTATTTAAGATACTTTCACCTGACCAAAACTATTCGTTAGCTATAAATATAACTGAGTAGAAGTTATTTCCAGCACTTTAAAAAAAATAACAAATAAAATAGAAGTTAACAGAAAGAACTAATGAATATTGCTATTCGTAAGAAATTCTATTCGTTATTCCCAAGTATGCATCTTGAACATGTGTTTATGACAAGTTTATATATTACACCAAGAACAATCTATACATAGACAATTGGATGGTTATCTTATGGTAGGCTACAAAACAAATTTTTATTTAAGCACTTAACACTAGAATTTAGGCTAATATCTAGACAAAACTATAACGTAGTACCAATTATTTGAATAAATTCAAACTAAAAGAAAACATTACTGTTCACCAACAAATTGGCACATATAATAACATACACAAAGACTTAAAAATCTGTTTGAGGCACATATGCCAAGGTTTACCTGTTAAGTTCGTACAGATGGAAGTTGTTAAGGAAATATCTGGTAAGTATTCTAGTATTGCTAACACACTGGAGTGCAGAGTTCATGAAACAAGTATTTCCCAAGTTGTTCAGTCCCGTAGCACCCTTTTCAGTGGCCACAGCTGAAACAAACAAAGAATAAATAAAACTTAAAATAGAATAGACCACAATTAGCTTTAAAATTGAAACCCCGTTTTTGAACTTAAGCTATGCACGCACTACGGCTTGGACGGATGTTTGGCACGGCAAATTTTAAAAGTTAATAACATTGAATGTAATATGAGTGCGCCCACTACGGCGGGACGGCCGACAACGGACGTTTGGCAGCTTCCGCCGTTTGTTAAAAAGTCTGAGAGACAGAACTCTAGGACATTTCCGAGCTGCCGTACCGACCAGGTGCTGGTCTCGTGGTCACCGCCGAAGTCGGACTCACAGTTTTAGCTCGCAGACTGTCCTAAATTGCCGATGTGCGGTTGTCCCGTCCCGTCCGTCCGTGCCGTGCTGCCCTAGTGCGCGCGTAGCTTTATATACATTTAAAAAATGTTATAGAATGAAATCTCAGGAGTATATCAGGCTGCGACCTAGGATGGCAAATATCCAGGGGTGTCAAATTTCCATGGAAGAAATGTAAAATGCCAACTGCCACAAAAAAAAATATGTAAATCCCATACAACTGAACCTATATTTGGGCCATATAACTTCATACCAAATGTATGTGAGTTGATATGTGCATGGTAAACCTTAAACAATATCTCAAGGGTACAACATTTTGACAGATTTCTAAAGGAAAATAAACCCGAGGAAATTTTATGTAACAATTCATCCGTATGGAGTCACCATGATGAATTTTCATCAAGCAATAAACCCAAAAATGTTGTCACCTTTACCTGAGTAATTTGGAGATCATTTACATACATACATCATACAGAATTCTGGACTTTTCTTTGTGCTGTACTGAAATTGAGTAATAATTTAAGTAAGTATAAGTAAAGTAAGTTTAAGTTTAAGTATTTTTTTATAGATAACAAATTGTTTTGGACCCACTCTTGAAACACACTATAAGCCCACTATTAAAACATTTACCAGAAACTAACAAATTTGCATCATCAGCATATAGACTCAATTTTGCCATATTATCTGTTAATGATATTGGCAGACTTTTAATATAACAAAGAAATCAAATGCGACCAAGAATCAAACCTTGAGGTACACTATATTTGATACACCTCAAAGACGATTTTATAATTCACTAATGGTTAATTCATGGCATGATAATAGATTTTAGATAAGCATGGCAAAATAGATAATGGTCTGTAATTAAAGGGTCCTTATTGCTACCAGATTTATATAATGTTTTAATTATAGAGATTTTTAATTTACTTGGAAATAGAACATTGAACTAACTTATAACTAACCTTCCAAACAAAATTTTTAAATATGGTGAGAGGTCCGATACATTGCCTGTGACGATAATTTAACTGGTCTAATGCGTTCCCTAACTACTTATTGAAAATATCTTAACTCTAAGACATTTTCTGAATGAATTATTCCTAAGGTTTCAACGTGGTGATTTTTGCATGTCTAGGAAGAATTACCTCGTTAAGCAAGGTAATCATAATTCTGGAATTAACATTTTTACAAAATGGGCCGAAAGCCCGGCTTCCCCAATTTGTTAATACCAAGGCAAAAATGTGGTTCGGATTCCACTATAAACTGTAGGTCCCTTAGTTGTCATTAGCTGTATGAGCTATTAATCAACAGATGTGTCTAAGGAATATGTCGACCTTAGTTACTAACAAGACTAAAAGATTGCGCCACTCATCCTACACTCATTTCCATTCATACTTAGCTTAAAATACCTACTTTGTATGGTCGCCATTTCAAAAGAAAAAGTATGAAAAAAAGTTATAAAAAGTAAGGTTAACTAAAACTTAATATATAGAGCTTATCCAGATGCAAGATACAAGAGTCATGGCGGCGTTGCAATTTGTTTCAAGAACCTTTTAAAACAAGGAGGAGGGGTTCTCGATTAGGTCGCTCCTCGACCGTTTCTAACACAAACAAGCTGCAGACCGAAAGCGGGGCGCTGATCGCGAAATTAGGCGATTTTGTTGTGTGGCACTATATAAAATAGTGGCACTAAGCGTAACAGAACAGAGTGGTAATTTCCTATAGGTTCTATATCACAGTAGTATTTCATTTACAAATCAAACTTAATCTGTTAAGAAAGAGCTAACATAATTTAGGCAAAAGATACTTAAAATGGTTTACAATACCTGCATATAGTAATCCTTTGTTGCTTATTTAGGTAACTAGTTTCGGTTCTTGTTTTGAACCATCATCAGGCCTCAAGGTGTCAGGTAATCACTTCATTCGAAGGTCGTTACCAAACAGAGTTCAATAAATAAAACATATAAAAAACACGATAACACAAAACTGACACACATTACAAAAAACACGAAGGGACATTGACAATCGATCGTGACCGGGCTGAGGTAAAGTCTAGACTGGTGGTCAAAGTGGTCTATGACGTTGTCTCTGTCTTCTTATCACCGGTGCGTGTTCATTCATTCATTGTTTCCCTCCAGTATCCTAATAGCTGAATAGAGATTTATTGTTTTCAGGCCTGATGATGGTTCAAAACAAGACCTGAAACTAGTTGCCTAAATCAGCAACAAAGGATTACTATATGCAGGTATTGTAAACCATTTTAAGTATAATACAGTAATCCGGAGGCTAAACAACTAGTTTAAAAATGAAGTAGGCAAAAGATGTTCTACAAGCAAGCATATACATTGGTTCTCAACTTACGTTGTTTGGCTTTATCATTGGGAGACATAGACAGAGAGCCTATCTCCTCAGGCCATGTTTGGTCTTTGTTTCTAATTTCAATCAGCAATTGGTCTTCATCACACACTCCAAGATCTTCTAGAGTGGCTTCCTCCTCCTCCATCAACAACATGTTGTTCTGCAAAATACACAATGACAATAGTATATCAACCATCAAATTACTATTTATTAAAGTAGGCCTATCCGATATTGAGTACAATACGTAGCGGTTTTGGCGAACAATTAAAGCATTATTCAAGTACTTTAAATAAAACATGTGACTTAATGTTTTTTTTTTAAACTCGTTAAGCCAAAAAATTAAAATCTACGGGGTTTATGGGTACCGGTACATAGAAAAATATCACATCACACATAACACAACACTAATATTTTGTGCTATGTACTTCATATAGGACCTCTTCAGCAAGTAGATAGATGAGAAATGGCACTTAAAATTCAAAACTGTTGGCAACACTATGGATTATAACAGTACCGGTACTGAATTTTGACTAACATTTCTCAAACATATTTACTCTTGGAAGAAGTCCTGTACTAGGAAGACACATCTGTGTTCTATTTTTTGTGTATCAATAGTGCTATGGACTTCAATTTTCTCAGGTACAATAGCTAAAGTGAGTTGCAGCAAACTATACCCATTTACAAACCTGACTAGGTAACTTGTCATTCATTACAACCCAAAAGAAGCAACAATGACTTGAATTAGATAGATGGATTTAACAGATTTTGTTAATCTGTTTTAGCTCTTGATGTAAGTATTAACTTTAAGTAGGATACACCATTGGGCCAAAGATATTAAAATTTATAAATCTAGGGCTGCCTATGGTATTTTTTTAAATATACAAATATGAGCCTTATTTTCTTTGGTACTTTAAAATCTCTAATTCATAGTTCATTTTTATGGTTTAGTATTAGTTTAGGCCTATCTGAACTATAGTTCAAAATATCACTATCGTTCACAATCGGGTAGCAGTTCGCAATTAACAATTTAAAAAATCATTTAGACCTTAAGTTATGCCCTTATCTAAAAAAAAAACAAAAAACTTTAATCCTAAGATTGCTAAGACAGATAAAAAATATTTTAACAAATCTACGAGGGTTCATACAGTGATAATAAATATTGCTTCACTTGTGGCTGATGTACAAGTGATAAGAAATAATAAACTGATATTGGCAATCAGTACTGAGCCTTAGTTATCTTGTTAATAAGAGGGCAATTGATGGATGAATTAGTTACTGTCGAGAATCTAGAGCTAGTAGACCTATATATTGAATATAGTTAAGTATAAGCTTATGTCTACTAGAGAATCCAGTAAGTTATTTGTTTAGTTTAGGATCTCTAAACTAATTTTGAAAATCTCATTATTTGGCACACTTTGATCAAATTTTACCTCTGGTAGTTATGGGGGAAACGCCTATTTCACCTGGAAAATCAAAGTTGAAAATTGTAAAACACACTGAAAATTGGTATATTATAAAAAAGTAGTTTTTGCAAAATTCCCACATAGGGAATAAGCTATGACTACAGTACTAATGGTAAGACCTGGACCCGGGGCCGATTTATTTTTTCGTTTTGAGGTCCCTAGAGGCCAAAACCATCCGTTCAGATTCATATATATTTATATACGTCCGTTTACTCGATAACTCTAGCAAAAATGATGCTATTTTGATATTTGGTACAAACACGTAAACCTATTCGAATGTGTTCGCGACCAGCATAACCCTAAAAACATAATTTTTTGTGATTTCTTTGAAACCATTTTGTAGAGCTTAAAATAACAAATAATTTAGTATATTAAGTGTTATTATAGGCCTACACATAATGGTTACAAAGAAAATTCCAAAAAATTTTAATTTTTAAATTCCTATGCTATTCTTAAGGAGAAAAAGTAGGCCTAAACTACAAAGTTTGCCTGTTAATGATGATCAAATTTGGATAACAAATGTATTTTACACTTAAATAAGTTTATTAACATTTCACAACAACAAAAAAACACTTGTTAACCCTCCCTGTTGCAGCAAACCTAAGTACTTTTTAAACTTACTCATGCTATTTAAATAGGGAACAAATGTGATATTTTTAAGGAGATATTTTGCTGAAGAAATCCAATTAGGCTAAAGGAAATTCGCTTAGTCTACGGGTTTGCTGTGGTGGGGGTATTTGTTCTTTAGGTTACGAACCCATCCCTCTGAAATTTTTGAGGGAAACCCCAATTTTCACCCTGAAAATCACCAAAAGTGTTCAAATAAAATTATTTAATCTTTTAATCACTTGCTCAAAATGGCCCAAATCATAAAACTAAAGAGAAAAAAATTGTATTCTAAGCCTAGGTTAGGCAAAGTAAATTAACTTAGATTAGAGCAACTGAAAGTAAGTTACTAACATAGTTTAGCACATTTCAGTACTGTAACTTATATTGCAAATTTGAAAAAAATTGTTTTGGTTTAGGCTACCCAAAAATAGGTAAATTTCAACATTTTATGATTTTTTAAACCTGATTTCCAGAGTGAAAACAGCATTTGTTGAAAAATTGCCCAAGGGAAAACCCCATTTCACATTATGACAAAGATATGCTAATAAAATTTTACGATGGCTATAAACAAAAATTCTTTAAATAAGCTAAATCCTGCATATAAATATGCAAAAACATAATTTTATCCAAAAGACATTTGCAGATTTTTAGCGCTTTTCACGTGTTAGGGTGAAATAACTTACTTATGCGTTTCTCCAAAGTGCCACACAAAAAAGTGTTCAAAATGGGCTAAATAATGAGAACAAAATGTTTTTGAAAATCTTTTGTAGACCCTAAACTAAGACCGAAACCTCGCCTAGGCTTCAAGCCCAACCTAATATTTTAGCTGTAATATGTTTTGGATAAGTTAACACCAATAAAATTAAACCCAATCTTTAAAATCAGTCACTAAGTTTATGGCTGTAAAAAGTGTAGGCCTAGGCTAGGCCTACACTAAAATTATTAGTTTATGATTAGTTAAATTATTTTAATTAGTATTTAATTAGCATTAGTATTAGTTTATATATTTATAAGTATTATTAATTATTAGTTTGATCAATTTACCAAATTAGGATTGTTTTATGACATTGGACAGTGATATTGAAAAGGCAAAACCTAATGAACGATACCCATGGCCTCATGGCCTTTAGTAATAACTCATAGCGTCATTGGAAGCTTCAATGAGCTCTTTTTAGGTTTTCAGTAGGCCTAATTGTGTGTTGTAAACTATTAAGCTACGATAGGTTTCTAAACCCAAATTATCAAAATTACCATACCCAAACGGAATCACGCATATGGAATCTATTTATTCTCCTACACTTTTCTTAAAAACAAAAACTAATAATTTAAAAAAGACATTTTTAGTCTTACTATCAGCCTTTTCCAATCGGAAATACTAGGTATTTAAATTTGTCTTCTTTGCGGTTTGGGTAGTCAGCTGTCCAATTGTTGGAATTGTTGGTCTTATGCCACAGCCGGTTGTATAACATTTCTCAATGGTTGTTAGGGAAGAGGTCATGGTCCTACAACAGTTTCAGTCCAGTCCCAGTAGGGTTTCGTTTCGACTCCCTGGACTGAAACGTCACCAACTATGGAATGGAAGGGAACGGGGATGAGCAAGTGTCAAAATCGCCGGTTAGTTGCTTTGCTTAGCAGAAAATAAACAGGTTTATCAGAGGTTTGTTTACGAATTCCTTATAATTTATTACAAAGGGAATCATGAAATTACAATTATATTTTAACGCTTTATCACGACAATAAAAATTATGTAAAGGCTATTGTATTTTTACGACTACGGTAATATGGTTTTCCACTTCTGGCCGTACGGCATAACCTATTTCTCAGTGTGAACAATCATAAGTTACTGCCTTCTGCCTTAAACCCGTTTTATGATTTTACATAAAACTAAATGTTAAGGTTATATAAAACTTAAAAACCAAGGATTAATAAATTGATAATGACGGTTCTGGTTTATCTGTTGTGCAATAATTTTGCCGTGATCGCGGGATCAAGTCCAGTACAGTAGTTGGTTGGTACCTACCATATCAAGGCTTATCTTAAGTTTGTTTACGACTTTATTTATTGCTGTGGTAATGATGCAATCATTATGACAAAGATATGCTAATACAATTTTACAATGGCTATTAAACTATTCGTAGGGCCTATATGTTTATTTGGATTCCCACTTCCAAGTTGTGCATTTTGTGATGTAAACCATTTAGGCGATGGCCTACTGTTAACTTAATGGTTTTATTTTGAAATTTTATCTAATCTGCAATGCATTTATAGCTTAAATACTGTATATCTTTATTGATATTGTATCTTTTAATTTACACAACTACAAGCATTGCTGCTTCCTGTGTTTGTTTTTATTCCTCAGAATAAGTAGACTAAGTTACTGCCCTAAAATCATTTAGGCTGATTATGTTTTTGACCTTGTCTATTGTTGGTTGTTAAGGTTCATGTTATTTTTTGTTTATCATATTTGTTTAATATGTTGTTGTATATCCTTAATGTAATTGATTTAATTAATTTATTTATGGTATAGGGCCTTAACATTTTACAATAATTTATAACATATTTTTATTGTCTCAAGACAATAAATAGTTTGCCAATAAATAAATAGGCCTAATAAGATTAACTTAGTATAACCGTATAACATAACAATATAGCGAACCATTTACAAATGACTATTGTGTTAGGCCTACATACAAAAGGACAGTATGCTATGACTTTGCTATTTTATAACCTCAATGTTTGCCAGTAAATAGGGCCTTCTAACTAATACCTGAATACCTCCTCTTCATTGTTGACCAGCCTGGGCCGGATAGATAGCGTCAAAATCCTTACAAAACTACTATTTACAAATAAATAAACATATATTTAAAATAAACTGACTGCGCATTGGCGGTGGATGCTTATTCTAGCGACAGTGTTGTCGAGTTTTCGAAAAATCCATCAATTGAATAAAATGGGTTTGCTAGGAGAAGTTCTTTTAAATTCTTGGTAAAAACCTTATCTTCCATGTCCTCTAAACATTTCGGCAGGGCATTGAACATCTTAACAGCAACCTGCGGGAAACTATCTCTCGTCATTGCTAGCCTACATC